CTCTCTCAGTAGAATTAATTGCTATTGGAAATGCTGTTCATAATGTATTTGTCTTACCTTGTCTTGCAGTCCCAAACAGGAAGTACAGAATATCTTTAAAGCAAAGCACCCGATGGATGCAGAGATCACGAAAGCAAAGGTGGGTGGTGGTGATATTTTTAATTCATAATGTACAGGGCAATGGCAGGTCATGTTTAAACCCCAGCTGGCACCTAAACACCACACAGTCATTTGCTGACTCTTCCCCAGTGGAACGGTACAGAGAAGAAGGGTAAAAGTGAGAAAATGTATAGGTTGAGGTAAAGAGAGTTCAGTAGGTAAAAGAAAAGCCATGCACACAGGCAAAGCAAAGAATTAATTCAATGCTTCCCATTGGCAGGGAGGTGTTTGGCCATCCCCAAGGCAGCAGGTCTCCATCGGGTTTAACAGTTACTTGGGAAGGCAAAACAACACCACCCTGAACATCCTCCTTTCTTTTCTCAGCCTTATATGCTGTGCCAGGACATCTTACAGTATGGGATATCCCATTGTTCAGCTGTCCTGGCTGTGTCTTGTCCCAGCTCCTTGTGCATCCCAGCTTCCTCACTCGTGGGCTGAGGAGCAGAAAAGACCTTGGCTCTGTGTAACCCCCGCTCAGTGATAACTGAAACATCCCTGTGTTATCAACTCTTTTGAGCAGAAATCTAAAACACAGCCCCACACCATCTGCTAGGAAGAAAATTAACTCTATTCCAGCCCAAATTAGCACATGGTATAAGCTAACTTTATGCATTTTTGTTTATATGGCAGTTGGATCATCCAGTGAAAGTAAGTCCATGCTATGTGATAGGTCATGGCAGTGCTGAGTTGAATGGACAGCTTCTAGCTGTGGGTTGAATTGGATGCAGTCTTCAGTAGCAGCTGGAGACTTGAAGCTGTTTAAGAAAGCACCAATTCACTGCTTAAAACTGAACTGGAAGATAATTCAAGCCTTAATTTATACTTGAGGTACTGGTTGGAAAAGGAAGTGACTTTTTGGCTCTGTTAGGCAAAACAGAAGTGACTGTAACAGGAATGTGGAACAGGAACAGTGACTGTGTACAGGAGTGGCTGTATCAAAACTGGGGAAGACTGATGCTAAATCTTAACTTGCTTCTCAGTTGCTTTCTAAAAGAGCCTTATTTACAGAATAGCTCATTTATCACAGTCAGCCTTCAAAAATTTGTAGTAATGAAGTAGTCTTGAAGACTTAAAAATTAATTTCCTCCTTGTTTTGCTATTTGATGGTGACGATTTGAGTATACTTGGTATTTGTGTCTTCCTCTCCCCACATCTAAATCTTCTTGGTTTCTTTCACAGATAATTGGATTTGGATCAGCCCTGCTTGAGGAGGTAGATCCCAATCCTGCTAACTTTGTTGGTGCTGGTATCATACACACAAAAACCACTCAGATTGGATGCTTGCTGCGCCTTGAACCCAACCTCCAGGCACAGGTATCTGTGTAACTGTCTCCAGCTTAGATAAAAGTTCTCATTTGAATTAAATACTTCTGTGTATCTGAAACTCCTTTAAGGTATTTAAAAATCACTATTGCATTAGCTGCTTATGACTGCAGACTCCAACAAGAAATTAAATTGTAGCAGCTGATCCTGGCCCAGCTGGGTAAGCTGCTTCTTCAGAGCAATTCTCTTTTCCTCTTGGAAGAGATGGTTACAATATTCCAGACTGTCTTGTGCACTTTGGACCACATTAAGTATGCTTCCCTTTGCTACTTTAAATGGTTAAAAGAGTAATAGGCTAAAAGATGAAAGCATAAGCAAGTGAGTACAATGTTAGGAGTATTTTTACTAAAGCTTTTTTGACAGAGGTGTTACCAAAATTAACTGAGGATTAAAAATAGGTTTTGGGCGGTTGTGTCTTCTGTTCCCTGAAGTAGTGTTTGTACAGAGTCTTTAGACTTTTCCACAGCATTTGCTCCTCTTTAACAGATATTCTGGACAACACCTTTCTGTTAAAACCCAAAAATACTTGAGTAACAGTAATTCTCAACAAGGGTTTGAAGATAGGGTTGGTTCAGCCAGTGGTTGGAAAAAGCTGTGATGCTCAGTGGCTTGCTGCCTCTGAGTGTTTTGAGATCTTTTTCCTAACAAAGCTTACAGAGCAAGTAAGAGGTAACTGTTAGTTTTCACTGTTGACTCTGCATTCCTTTAATGCCAAACTGTTTAAATAGTATTTTATGTTCTTTTTCAGATGTATAGGCTCACACTACGAACAAGTAAAGAAGCTGTATCTCAGAGATTATGTGAATTGCTGTCAGAACAGTTTTAATATTAACCATGTCAGTTTTGGTTTTTCCACTTATATCACTGTCATCATACTGCAAATAAATGTCTTGTACATCACTGTCTGAGTACTGCAATGTTAACCAATACCAGCTCCCTGCCTTAATAGGACTCGACCCTTGTTTGAAATTAAGACTATAAAATGTACAGTACAGGGAAGTGACTTTTCCATTAAAAATGGCTTTTAGTGTGTTACATAAAGGGTGGGAGGGCTGTCTTTTGCTCCTTTTTTTTGCAGAGGTCAGGCTTTTAAACTTGTTGAAGGGAAATGGTTTTCGTTGTGGCAATCAAGGATTTCAGCTGAAAATAGCTCAAAAACCTTCTGCTTCAGTACCTTTAAGAGATACTTCCTCTGCTCTGAGCTGAAAGAAAACAGTGTACTGCTGCTCAGGAAGGTTAATTCCCATGCTAATGTAGAGTCAAAACTTTGTAAAGTTGAACATTGCCACAAGTTGTCTACTGGATGGAAGGGCAGATTTGAAGATGTGTTTGAATCTGATTAAAGTGAACATTTATGTTGAGTCGCCAGTCTTTGAATTTGAAAAATGCCACAGGACCAGAGTCTTAAAGGTGTTAATCTTGTAATATTTTACATCCTAATGTTTTCTGATCTTTGGATTGAACACAAAAGCTATTCTTAATCCTCCTGCTTATCTCCGTTCATGAGGTGAGCTTCTCTGGTAGGGGGTGAATGATTATATACTTGTTCGTTGTTTCTCAGTGAAGTTAAATATTCTGTTCTATGTTTTTTCTGTTTGCCATCAGACTTGACAAGTAATAGTCCTAATGATGTGATACAATTAACTGCAGAAACTAGTGTTGTATAAAAGAAGTGGGAAGAAATGGGCCCTTGAAGGGCTGTAAGGCGTGCACTCTTAGGTGAAAATGTAATTTTAATCAATATCTTTTCCCCAGTGTTCATTAATGTTCAGACTCAAGAGCTGAATAACTGATACCTAAGCAGTTTCCTTTCTGTCAGTGGTAAAAATGTCCAACATGGTATAGAAAACTTCTGTTGAAACTGAAAGTAGAAAACCCAGAAGTGTTCAGCTTTTCTAGAGGTTTTTACAGCCGAAGTCTTTGTACCTTGTTTCACATCAAACTCTTTGCAGCCTCTCTGCAGAAGTCAGTGGACAGGAACTTTGGCTCACGCTCCTCAAGCCTTGAGGTGCAACAGAAGCTGCTAAACCAAAGCAGGTGAGGTGGCCCACTTAGAAACCCTGGGTTGGTGTCAGCAAGAGCTACAGATCATGGTGAACAAAATCAGCTCCTGCTGACAGGAGAAGGGAACCTCAGGTCAAGATTTCCTCATGGTCACTGAAAGGAAGCCTGGGACTGCTGTGTCAGAACACATATAGGCAAACGTGCCCAGGAAAAGGAGGTGTTGAGTCATGGTGATGACACTGAAAATACATTTAAATGGGGCTGCTGTCATGCTGCCCATGCTCAGCAGGGGACAGGATTCTCCATGATTGAGTGTGCCTTGCTTTTTGTCTTCAGTGCTTTGAGCTTAAATGATGTAACTGGGAGATTTTTACTTGGTTTGGCTGAAGGCTCCTGATCGTACTTGAGTAAAAGAGAAAAATGAGGAATAAAGGTTTGGCTGTGATGTGTGGATTTTGGGGGATGTGTTTTGTTTTTCCAGAAATTGCTGGTAACTGGGTATTATGGCTGAAAACTAGGCTAAAGGCCTGGTCTTTCTGCAAAAGTTCTCTGGAACAACTGGCCCCTTTAAGGCCTTTCACATTCTTCTTGCTTAAGACTCTTAAATCATAAATATTGTCATTGAAAATCTTGGTGAGTGGTTCCTGCGGTCAGGCTGGGCAGTTGGCAAATACTGATGGAATACCTTTTATTTTGGCTTCACGATGTTCTGTGTCTCATTATTAGTCCTGTTATGTTAACCATGCTCTTGGCTACTCTGTTAAAATCTGATGTGCTGAACTAAAGGGAGTCTTAGCAAAGACAGAAGAGGAGGTTCTCTTTTGTATTTTCCAAATCCTGTTGTATATCTGTCCCCCTGAAAAATGTTCTGTGCCCTCATTAAAGGACACCTTGAGACACTGCACTACTTTATTTCACTTTGCTTTGGTTCAAGCTGTGCTAAAATGTGCATTAAAGTGTGGGAAGGAGGGGGGGTAAGGGAAAGTGTCTTTTCAGTGGTGACTGTGTTAAGCTTATGACTGTTCACTCTTTGTATTCAGTGTCAGCTCAATGAAGCCATGAGCAGAAAAGTGAACAAATTAAAGACAAATACTTGATTTTATTTTTTTTGTGAATGATGGTTAACTTACCAGTGATGTATCCTGTCAAGCAGACAAAGTAATTTCTGCAGTAAACAGTGTTATTGTTTTTAAGTGCAGTATTTTCAGGCATTGACATGTGAAAATAACTGAATAGCAAAACAGGTAGCATATGTTCATTCTTGACCTACACTCCAGTATGTAACATTTATGGTGATTGTCTTATTTGTATAAAACAAAGTTCTGTCAAATTAAGTGGAGAATTTTCATATAGAAGACTATATATTAGACTATATTCATCAGAAGAACATATTAAGATTAAATAAATGATTAGACCAGTGATGAAACTGTCCTTTTTTTGTCTGGGGGCATGAAGGCGTAAAAAATATTCTCGTGGAATGGTTGTTGTGGAGCACAATTGCTGTGATTCTTCTCTGAGAAACTGAGAAACACTGGTGGGTTTGTTCACTGGAGTCCTACCTGGTCTATGGATTTCTGCTCCCCCAGTAAGTGAGTTTGATTTTGCTCTCGTTTGGTTACAAATTATAAATACTCTATTTTTAAAAAGCCTCAGGTGTAAAATCTTTCTCCCTAGAGTGTTTAACAGCAGTAAGTACTTGAGCAGTGCTTGCTGCAGTAAACTGCTCTAATAGTGGGGTTCAGGCTAAGCAGCACACACCTGTATTGGATGCAGGGTTGATGGCACTGTAGAAGAAGAGTAATCTGAACTGCTAAATAACCTCATAAGCTTTGAATGTATGCTTCAGGTTCTTTTCTTATATTTGCTGAAAGGGAAAAAAGGGCACTCTGAGCTTTTCTGCAATCATACAGCTTTTTCTTAAATGACTTGCAACAAAGTAAAGTTCGTCTGGAGTCCCAGCAAGTAGAAATTGCTTGTGAGTGAACCACTTGTATTCTGTTAGATGCGTGTGGGCTTTGATTTCTTGGCGAGGAATGCCTTCAGCTTCATCCCAAAGCTGCTCCATGTGTATGTTAGTTACCTTTCTAGAAATGTCCCACCATACTAAGGGTGCTTGTGGAAACCTCACCATTCACCTTTGGGTCGTGCAGCACCTTGCTTTCCAGCCCTGTCATCTGTGGATGATGACACATATGCTGTGTCCACTTTCAAAGGCAGGGAACAGGTCACTTTCCTTCTCCCACTCAAGTAGTGTGCTCTTCCACAGGTCAAGTTGACTGTAGTGAACCTAATAGACTATTTTTCAGTTTAAATATTTGGTCAAATAAGGAGAAAGAAGTTAGCAAATTCAATTCCTTCTACTTTATTTGAACATTAAATTTCTGATACTGCCCAGTGCATGGGCCAGGTTTTAGCCTCTGGTTGAATAAATCACCCTGAGCAAGGCCAAACAGTTTCTTGTCTTCCCTCCTGCTCCCCACCCTCAACCTGTTCTTTATTTCTGTGCCTGTTCTTTATTTCCTCCTTTGCACCCCACCCTGCTCCTGATCAGGAATACTTTATCTGGTGACTCCATTGGTAGTCCAGGCAGCTGCTCAGGCAGTGTGACAGCAAGGCTGTCCTGTGTAATCGGTACAAGAGAACCCAGCAATGAGCTGTGGAAGGATTAACTTGTGATCAGGGTTTAATTACAAAAAATGGTATCTGCAGCCATCAGGTCTGGCTAGTGTGTACAACTGTCAAAGTCGCACACACAGCCACTAAATGCAATTATTTCTGTGGTGAGCCTTCTTCCAGGGTTATCTGGGTCTTGGCATGGCAGTTGGAATTGCTTCTTAAGAAGTTCAAGTGGCCTACAGCAGCCACATGTTGTGATGACCATCATCTTCTCAACATCCAGCCTGTGTGGAAGGGGAGGGATAATCAGTTGGCATTTGTTTACAGCATTTTAGGCTCACAGCCTTTCAAGTGAACTTCTTTCAATGAACTTCTTTCTTTCCTATGGTGAGATGTTTAGAGGAAAGAGCACAGCCCTCAGTTGAATGCTTCTGTCACCTGCAGGACTACAAATAATGTGGGAAATGATTCCATTTTAAGTTCTCATGAGGCAGAAACTCTGGTGTACTCAGCTGCTGCCTTCCATTTTAGAACAGGATGAACTTGATGATCCTTGTGGGTCCTTTCCAGCTCAGGCTAGTCTGTGATTCTATGATCTCATCATCTGTTAGGCCTCAGGCCTCACTGGAAAACGAATAGAATTTGATTCCCCTGGTCTCTTTTTGGCCTTCTGAATATTTGTAAAGTACCTAGGGATTAAATTTGTTAAAGCTGTGCACTGGACTACTTAAGAGTTTACAGAAGGTCTCTTTTGCAGATGCTGAATTATGTGTGTTCCTTTTGCAGTTCACAGAGCAAGGAAAACCCCTTTTTCCCACTGCACAGTTAGTGCTGGAATCTGAGGTGGTGGCTGTATGATGCCAGTTCTGGGTTTGAGGTGAGCTAATAAGGTAGAAGACTTGCACATAATTGCTGAATTCACAGCACAGGTAGGTGAAATGAGAGCTTGAATAGGCAGGTAAGGATTTGAGTCTGTCCTTATAGTACTGCAGTTCTCAGGCTGTAGATTACTGACCATGTTCAGCCTCCTGCTGGCCTTGGTTCTGCCTATCTCTTTGTCAGTGGGAAAGTGTATTGATAACAGGCCAGAACTCAGGTATGGGGAAAAGAGAGTTAAGGGAAAAAATTATTTTTTGAAAACCCTCTTTTGAAGCGGAGAAAAGTTTTCTTGGTTTCAGTTAAAACTGAGTTTTAACACAACTTTCTTAGCAATTGAGACAAACCTTAACTCTAAAAGTCTTCCTTCAGGTTTCACAGCCCTTTTGTGAACTCGGCATACAAGGTCAGTCGCTCAGTTTTCAAAATGCTGGGGGATGCTTGAATGTGCTTTGAAGAGCACAATTTATAGCATAAGGATTAATTTAAACTAGTTCCTAAATTAGTTCTGCAAAAGCAGAACCCTTCATTGTTTTCCAATCTTGAACATTGTACTGGCTTGGGTTGTTGGGAATGTAACTTCCCCCTCCCCCCCTCAGTAACTGAACTCTAATACTGCTGCACTGTTTACTTGTATTGAAGCCTTGGTTTCCTGTCAAATTCTAATGGGCAGCAGAACTGCACAGGCTCAGATAGTGCCCCTGTAATTATAAAATATACCTGAATTACACTACTAGGAGCATGTTATGAGACAACTGAAGTGGCATTAGTTACCTTAGATGAAATTTCTTATTTTACTATCTTAGCTATTTGAAATAGGTATTTATAGTCTAAACCACTTTTTCAGTCTTTAAAAAACAAACAAAACAAAACCCCCAACCATCAAAAACAACAAAATAGCCCTCCAAACCTGGAGTATTGATGTCTGTCTTTTTTTTAAAAGCAAAACAACAAAAACTTAGGGAAGTGAGATGACCTTCCTTGATTAGATGTAAATCCCTGTGTAATTAATGACCTTATTGTTGCTATTAACCAGTTTATACAGCAACATTGTACATTGCTGGGTGGATGCTAACCACATTTTCCTCCCTGAATTATAAAGGCACAGTTGTTCATGAATCTCCCTACTTAGAGATGGCCAAATAAGGAAAACAACTTTAGTACTGTACAGCTTCAGTTATCCTTACTTTGTTGAAGAGGAACATGATCCTTCACAACGGCTCAAAGTGACATTTGTGGAACAGCCTTTGTAAGTTATTTCTTCTTCATATTCAGCTTCTCTACAATGCTCTGTCAAATGTAAAAAGAAAAAATTTCTGCTATAATTCATCTTGGTCTTCTTGAGTGACCTTTTTTAGATGCCCAAAGCCTCCATATTTGGTTTCCTGGAAAACCATTCTTATTGCATGAGATAATTAACAAGTCATAAGTGAGTTACACAGCAAGAGAAGATTTTAAACTGGGCACTAAAGTTGCAGGAGAGGCTTACCCTAGAGGACAACAAATGAAAAGAATAAATTTTTAAGAAAACAGAAGCTGTTGGAATTACGAATAAGCAAAAAAATCCAGCTAAGAATATAGTACACATTCAGTCCAGCATGGAAAAACTAATCCTATGCTGAGAACACAAAGATGCAAAGAGAACGACCAGTTGACTCATTCTGGTAGAATTATTTCTGGTTCACAGAGTTTACTTATTTGAAAATTGCTTAATTTACTCATTTTAAGGATATATTTTTAGGTAGCCAGAAGTTCACAACTTGCCTTGCTAGGGAGAATGTGTAATGCTACGTGTTAGGTAACAATCTATGTGTCAGTGTTGTATTTTCCCCTGCCTTGAAGCACCACACTAAGCACTTTATGAAGCAGAAAGCTGACTGAAAACACAAGTTTTCCAAGGAGTTCAAAGATAGTGTTTGAAGTATATATTAAGGAGACAAAGATGTTGAAAACTGTGAAGGCAATTCATACACTGCTCACACCTGATCCTGCACAATAATCTTTTGAACACAGTCAGGTCCTCTGCTGAGAGAAAGGTTATAGAATATTGCAGGGGAGGCTCAGTTAATGCTGTAGTATGACTTTGGGATTTTTTAAATTGGAAAATAAGATAACTACTAACTGGGCAGTAGACTAAGATGCTGTATCTATGTGCCCAAGCGTGCAAAGCATGTGAGAGCTAACGGGAAGGCTGCAGGGTAATGAGGGGATAGCCTGTTCCAATAAGAAGTTTCTTATACTGCTTTTTAAGAGGACAGAGTGAAGGTTCTGTGGCTCTCCTGAAGTACATCCTGTTAGACTCTAACTCACACTTCTTAATGTTTAAAATGTTGAATAGCAGGGAACCTGTATGAAATCTAAGACGTCAGACAATAGCTCTAGAAAAGTAACTGCAGAAAGGACAAAAAAGATGAGCCAATGGATACAAACATGATCATAGCCAAAGGATACATAAAGAAAATTCATATGCTCATCAAAAAAAAGGCATTCAAAGCAAATCCATGATAGAGGAAATGAGACGGAGATACATTACCGCGTGGCACTGTTGATGGCACAACAGAGGACAGGGATGTTGAAAGTCCAGAGGTGAGAGGAGGAGATGATGTTGTGCGGGCAGTGGTCAGTGTTGTTGTTCGCAGGGAACTCTGTTCAACTGACTCTGTAGAAGCCGTCGTGATAACATGGGGAGCAAAGGTAATAGTTGTAGACAAAACAGTTGGGATCAACGCTGGCCTAGACTGGGCAGAGATACTGGCAGGGACAGCGAATGAAGATGTTTTGCCATGTGGAGTCAATGTGATGTTATGGAAGTAAGGATGTGTAGTGCTCTGAGCAGACCTAAATGTGGAAGTAGTCAGGGATGTAGGCACGGATGTTGTACTGGCGGTTGAGGCCAAAGCAGAAGAGAATGGAGACATGGCAGTGGATGGCAGCCGGGTGCTGAGCGGGCTGCTGGAGGCAGGCAGAGAGCTGGGATTTGGAGAGGTTTCCAGAGGCACTTCTGTGGAGACAGAGGTCCTGAAGGTGCTGCTGATGGAGGTGGTGGCTGTGGTCTGGTGCGTGGTCACAGGTGGCCCAATGTGTGGCACAGTTGACTGTTCAAGAGTGAAGGCTGCCAGGAGGAAGGCACAGGTAAAATTGAGAATGCCCACCTGGACGTTTCTCTCCCCTTGCTCAGACATGAGGAAAGAATCAGAAAAGCCAAAGCAGCAACACATGCACATATCCAGAGAGAGACACATTTCAGAAATGAAGAAATTAAAAACCAAATGAGGATCCACCTGTGGAAATGCAAAGGCAGTCACTCACCACATTGCCCCACTTGCCAATATCCAGTCTCCAAGCAATGACTACCTGGCAGTAACTGCCCTACTCTCCCACTGGACAGCTCAACATGATATTCTGTGGCATGCAGTGTCTCCTTGGACTCTGGTTTGGGCCAGCTATGCAGGCTGTGTCCCAGATGGACTCCTGACCACCCCATGCCCACTCCCTGGCTGGTACAAAGACAAACAGAGGAGGCCCAGGGGTGGAGCTGGCACTCTGGATCAATCACCAAAGCACTTGTGTGCCATCAACACCAGCTGGGACTCACATCTGAAACGCAGTACCAGAAAACCTGCTGGGAACAATAATGAGCTCTGTCCCAAGGAGAGCCAGTGCACAAGCCAAGAAATACAATGGGAAACCAAACTCGTCAATTGCAAAGCAAGAGAGGGGCAAGCAGCCACACAAATGCAGAACGGGAATGTGGTTTTTGAAAGAAACAATGGAGGTAGGGAGGATTAATTGAGTGACAGAAAAAAATGAGAGCTGGAAAGAGCAAGAAGGAAAAGGATGGCTAGGAAGGAGCCTTACCGGGCTGTGAGGAGCTGAGCCATGTTGAGGACATAGTTGAGGAGGGAGAAGAAGTAGGTGATGGCAGCGTGCTGGTTTTGGCTGTGGTGGGAGCAGAGGACTCTGTGACAGGAGACTCCTTTGCAGCACTGGTTGTTGGGGAAGAAGCCCTGGGCCTCAGGGTTGTAGGTGTGGGCCTGGGGCTGGTGCTGGGAGCTGCTGTGGAGGAGGATGTGGAAGTGGTGGCAGTGGATGGCAGCCGGGTGCTGAGCGGGCTGCTGGGGGCAGGTGGAGAGCTGGGATGTGGAGAGGCTGTTTCCAGAGGGGCTTCTGTGCTGCTTGGTGGGCTGGCTCCTGTGGAGAAAGAGGTCCTGGAGGTGCTGCTGATGGAGGTGGTGGCTCTGGTCTTGTGCGTGGTCACAGGCGGCCCGATGTGTGGCACAGTTGACTGTTTGTAAGTGAAGGCTGCCAGGAGGGAAGCACAGGTCAGTTATGGAAGAGGGCAGAAGGGGAAAGCAAAGATGGTTGGTTGAAACTTCAGACTGTGACCGAAAGGAAAGCCAGATCTCCTGTACTGCAGTGTCTATTCCCAAGTTTGAGGGAGGACTAGAACTGTGTCCTGTCCAAAAGCTGCTCCTTACATCCCCCATGAATAGGACAAAATGGACATGGTGCTCTACTAGGGGCAAGATCTCTCTTCCTCGAAGATGGCCTTTCTGAATGTTCATGTCTTTCCAAGGAACAGGAACTGTGTAAGGACTGCCCCTCCTAGACTGGCAGGCCAGGCTACATGGGTGTCACCTTTTCTGGGGCCATAATGAAGAGAATGGTCATTCCACCATGCTGATGCAAAAAAAAAAGTGAAAGGAGAGCAAAAAATAAAGCAACCCTGCAAGCAACCTGCTCTGATGGAAATCAAGAGATGAAAAGGGAGAGCAGCAGGAAGCACCAGGATGGATAGGAGGGAGCCTTACCAGGCTGTGAGGAGCTGAGCCATGTTGAGGACACAGTTGAGGAGGGAGAAGAAGCAGGTGATGGCAGCGTGCTGGTTTTGGCCGTGGTGGGAGCAGAGGACTCTGTGACAGGAGACTCCTTTGCAGCACTGGCTATGGTTGGGGAAGAAGCCCTGGGCCTCAGGGTTGTAGGTGTGGGCCTGGGGCTGGTGCTGGGAGCTGCTGTGGAGGAGGATATGGAAGTGGTGGCAGTGGATGGCAGCCGGGTGCTGAGCGGGCTGCTGGGGGCAGGTGGAGAGCTGGGATGTGGAGAGGCTGTTTCCAGAGGCACTTCTGTGCTGCTTGGTGGGCTGGCTCCTGTGGAGACAGAGGTTCTGGAGGTGCTGCTGATGGAGGTGGTGGCTGTGATCTTCTCTGTGGTCACAGGCGGCCCAATGTGTGGCACAGTTGACTGTTTGTGGGTGAAGGCTGCTGGAAGTAAAGCAGAGAGCTTTTGAGGATGAGGGCAGCAAAAGTTGAAATGGAGGTGGGTTAGAGGCCTCAGGTTTAGGAAATGAACAAAAACAGCAGGGCTGTGCTGCACTGAGTATTCCCTGGGAAAAAGGGAGCACTGAGATTGTGGGCCCTGTCTACAAGCTGTCTAGTTTCTGTCTTTAAAAGGGAGGAAATGGAGAGTGTTTTCTAACAGGCAACATCCCACTACCAATTCCTGGGAGAGGACTCCGTGAATATGCATTTGTCCCTTCAGGGAACAGGGAGAGCTTAAGGACAGTCCCTTGTGAGACTGGCAGTTCAGGCTCCATGGGAGAGACCAGTGTCCCAGTGCCCTACCTAAGGAGAGCCATGCCAGTGATCCAATGCAGAGAGAAGGGGGAAGGGTAAGCAAAAATTAAAACCACTCTGCAAGCAGCCTTTGCAACTGGAAACTAACAAGGGAAATGGGAGTGCAGGAGGAAATAGCAGGATTCGTAGGAGGGAGCCTCACCTGGCTGTGCGGAGCTGAGCCATGTTGAGGACACAGCTGAGGAGGGAGAAGAAGCAGGTGATGGCAGCAGGCTGGTTTTGGCCGTGGTGGGAGCAGAGGACTCTGTGACTGGAGACTCCTTTGCAGCACTGGTTGTTGGGGAAGAAGCCCTGGGCCTCAGGGTTGTAGGTGTGGGCCTGGGGCTGGTGCTGGGAGCTGCTGTGGAGGAGGCTGTGGAAGTGGTGGCAGTGGATGGCAGCCGGGTGCTGAGAGGGCTGCTGGGGGCAGGTGGAGAGCTGGGATGTGGAGAGGTTTCCAGAGGCACTTCTGTGGAGACAGAGGTTCTGGAGGTGCTGCTGATGGAGGTGGTGGCTGTGATCTTCTCTGTGGTCACAGGTGGCCCAATGTGTGGCACAGTTGACTGTTCAAGAGTGAAGGCTGCCAGGAGGAAAACAGGTCAATTGCACATGACAACAAGAGTAGGAAATGGAGGTGCTCAGAGGACTCTGATTGTGGATAGAATTTAAAATAGAATGCCAATGCTGCAGTGAGTATTTCTGGGAAAAAAGGAACACTGGGATTGGGAGTCCTCTCCACAAGCCACTGTCTGGCTTCTGTCCTCAAAAGGGAGGAAATGGATACAGTAGCTTCCAACAGGCACGTTCATAGTATTTGTTCTTAGAAGAGCACCCTGACCGGATATGCATGTGTCCCTTCAAGGAATAGGGAGAGCTTAATTATAGTCCCCTCTGAGATTGGCAGAGCAGGCTACATGGCAGAAACCAGTCCCCCAGAGCCATAACAAAGTAATGCCATACTACTGTTTCAATGCAGTAATAAAGGGGGTGTATAATAAAAATTAAAAGAAGTATGCAAGGAACCTGTGTGGCTGGAAAGGATGAGTAGAAAGGGAAGAGCAGCAGGAAGCACAAGGATGGATATGAGGGAGCCTTACCAGGCTGTGAGGAGCTGAGCCATGTTGAGGACACAGTTGAGGAGGGAGAAGAAGCAGGTGATGGCAGTGTGCTGGTTTTGGCCGTGGTGGGAGCAGAGGACTCTGTGACTGGAGACTCCTTTGCAGCACTGGTTGTTGTTGGGGAAGAAGCCCTGGGCCTCAGGGTTGTAGGTGTGGGCCTGGGGCTGGTGCTGGGAGCTGCTGTGGAGGAGGATGTGGAAGTGGTGGCAGTGGAAGAGCTGGGCTGTGGAGAGCCTGTTTCCAGAGGGGCTTCTGTGGAGAAAGAGGTCCTGGAGGTGCTCCTGATGGAGGTGGCAGTTGTGGTCTTTTCTGTGGTCACAGGTGTCAGAGCATGTGGCATGGTGAACACTTTATGGGTGAAGGCTGCCCGGAAGAAAGCAGAGGTCAGTTGAGGATGAGGACAAGAAACAAAAGAAATGTGTATATTCAGAAGTCTTAGATTGCTGTTAACAAAAAGAGCAATGCTGTGCTCTACTGAGTATTCCTGAGAAAAAGGGAAAACTTTTACTGTGGGTGCTGTCTACAAGCTGCTGTCTCGGTTCCTTCAGAAAAAAGTTAGGAAGTGGATACAGTAGCTTCCAGCAGGCAAGGTTCAACTACATCTTCCTGAAGAGGACCCTGTGTGAATATGCATGTCACTGTCCCATCAAGGAATTGGCAGAGCATAAGGAGAGACCGATCTGAGATGGGCAGGGCAGCCTACATGGCAGAAACCAGTGCCCCAGAGCCCTAACAAAGTAATGCCATACTACTGTTCCAATGCAGAAAGAAGGGGATGTAGAGCAAAAACTAAAACAACTCTGCAAGGAACCTTTGTAGTGGGAATGGAGGAGTGGAAAAGGGAGAGCTGCAGGAAGCACCAGAATGGGTAGGAGAGAACCTTACCAGGCTGTGAGGAGCTGAGCCATGTTGAGGACACAGTTGAGGAGGGAGAAGAAGCAGGTGATGGCAGCGTGCTGGTTTTGGCCATGGTGGGAGCAGAGGACTCTGTGACAGGAGACTCCTTTGCAGCACTGGCTGTGGTTGGGGAAGAAGCCCTGGGCCTCAGGGTTGTAGGTGTGAGCCTGGGGCTGGTGCTGGGAGCTGCTGTGGAGGAGGATGTGGAAGTGGTGGCAGTGGATGGCAGCCGGGTGCTGAGCGGGCTGCTGGGGGCAGGTGGAGAGCTGGGATGTGGAGAGGCTGTTTCCAGAGGCACTTCTGTGCTGCTTGGTGGGCTGGCTCCTGTGGAGACAGAGGTCCTGGAGGTGCTGCTGATGGAGGTGGTGGCTGTGATCTTCTCTGTGGTCACAGGCGGCCCAATGTGTGGCACAGTTGACTGTTTGTGGGTGAAGGCTGCCAGGAGGGAAGCACAGGTCAGTTGTGGATGAGGACATAATGAGAAGACAAATGTGGTCACTGTAGCTCCAGACTGGGAGCACCAACTTCAACAACTTCAGCATGCTGCACTGAGCATTCATCAGTTAGAGGGAGGTGGGACCAAGGACTCTGCCTTATAGCTGCCCTCTTTTTTCCTCATAAAAAGGCAGGAAAATGACATGCTGCATTCCAACAGGCATGATGCCTGTTCCTCTTTCTGGAAGCGGACCCTGTGTGTATGTGCATGTCTCCCAAGGAATAGGAGCACATTAAAGTTTGCTCACTTCAGAAATGACACGGTGGCCAGTGTGGGAGTGACCGGAGCCCCAGGGCAGTACCAAATGACAACCACATCATGCTGCTGATTCAAAAAGAATTTGGAATGGAGAGCAAATTTAAAGAAAATATGCAAGTGGTCTGCACTCATGGAAATGAAAAAGAGAAAAGGGAGAGCACGCAGAAGCAGAAGGACATGTAAGAGAGGACCTTACCAGGCTGTGAGGAGCTGAGCCATGTTGCGGACACAGTTGAGGAGGGAGAAGAAGCAGGTGATGGCAGCGTGCTGATTTTGGCCGTGGTGGGAGCAGAGGACTCTGTGACTGGAGACTCCTTTGCAGCACTGGTTGTTGGGGAAGAAGCCCTGGGCCTCAGGGTTGTAGGTGTGGGCCTGGGGCTGGTGCTGGGAGCTGCTGTGGAGGAGGATGTGGCAGTGGTGGCAGTGGATGGCAGCCGGGTGCTGAGCGGGCTGCTGGGGGCAGGTGGAGAGCTGGGATGTGGAGAGGTTTCCAGAGGCACTTCTGTGGAGACAGAGGTTCTGGAGGTGCTGCTGATGGAGGTGGTGGCTGTGATCTTCTCTGTGGTCACAGGTGGCCCAATGTGTGGCACAGTTGACTGTTTGTGGGTGAAGGCTGCCAGGAGGGAAGCACAGGTCAATTGCACATGACAACAAGAGTAGGAAATGGAGGTGCTCAGAGGACTCTGATTGTGGACAGAATTTAAAATGGAATGCCAATGCTGGAGTGTTGCTCGGAAAAAAGGAACACTGGGACTGGGAGTCTCCTCCAAAACCACTGTCTGGCTTCTGTCCTCAAAAGGGAGGAAATGGATACAGTGGCTTCCAACCGGCAAGGTTCCAGTACTTTTTCTTAGAAGAGCACCCTGTGTGGATATGCAAGTCTACATTTAATAACAAGGAGAGCGTAAAGACACTCAACTTTAAGAGAGGAAGGCTCCATGGAAGAGAGAAGAGCCCCAGATCCATAACAAAGTAAGATGATACTAGTGTTTGAAATCAGATAAAGGGGGTATGGGGAGCAAAAAATAAAACAACTTTGCATGCAACCTATGTGGCTGGAAAGATGAATGGAAAAGCGAGACAAGGGAATCACCATGATGGATATGAGGGAGCCTTACCAGGCTGTGCGGAGCTGAGCCATGTTGAGGACACAGTTGAGGAGGGAGAAGAAGCAGGTGATGGCAGCGTGCTGGTTTTGGCCGTGGTGGGAGCAGAGGACTCTGTGACTGGAGACTCCTTTGCAGCACTGGCTGTGGTTGGGGAAGAAGCCCTGGGCCTCAGGGTTGTAGGTGTGGGCCTGGGTCTGGTGCTGGGAGCTGCTGTGGAGGAGGATATGGAAGTGGTGGCAGTGGATGGCAGCCGGGTGCTGAGCGGGCTGCTGGGGGCAGGTGGAGAGCTGGGATGTGGAGAGGCTGTTTCCAGAGGGGCTTCTGTGCTGCTTGGTGGGTTGATCCCTGTGGAGAAAGAGGTCCTGGAGGTGCTGCTGATGGAGGTGGTGGCTGTGATCTTCTCTGTGGTCACAGGTGGCCCAATGTGTGGCACAGTTGACTGTTTGTGGGTGAAGGCTGCTGGAAGTAAAGCAGAGAGCTTTTGAGGATGAGGGCAACAAAAGTTGAAATGGAGGTTGCCAGAGGCCTCATATTCAGGATATGAACAGAAACAGCAGGGCTGTGCTGCACTGAGTATTCCCTGGGAAAAAGGGAGCACTGAGATTGTGGGCCCTGTCTACAAGCTGTCTAGTTTCTGTCTTTAAAAGGGAGGAAATGGAGAGAGTGTCTTCTAACAGGCAACATCCCACTACCAATTCCTGGGAGAGGACTCTGTGAATATGCATTTGTCCCTTCAGGGAAGAGGGAGAGCTTAAGGACAGTTCCCTCTGAGACTGGCAGTTCAGGCTCCATGGGAGAGACCAGTGTCCCAGAGCTCTACCTAAGTAAGGCCATACCAGTGTTCCAATGCAGAAACACAGGGGTTCGCGAGCAAAAATGAAAACAACTCTGTAAGCAGCCTGTGTGGCTGGACAGAAAGAATCAAAAATGGAATTCATGCAGGTGCCTACCAGGCTGTGCGGAGCTGAGCCATGTTGAGGACACAGCTGAGGAGGGAGAAGAAGCAGGTGATGGCAGCAGGCTGGTTTTGGCCGTGGTGGGAGCAGAGGACTCTGTGACTGGAGACTCCTTTGCAGCACTGGTTGTTGGGGAAGAAGCCCTGGGCCTCAGGGTTGTAGGTGTGGGCCTGGGGCTGGTGCTGGGAGCTGCTGTGGAGGAGGATGTGGAAGTGGTGGCAGTGGATGGCAGCCGGGTGCTGAGAGGGCTGCTGGGGGCAGGTGGAGAGCTGGGATGTGGAGAGGTTTCCAGAGGCACTTCTGTGGAGACAGAGGTTCTGGAGGTGCTGCTGATGGAGGTTGTGGCTGTGATCTTCTCTGTGGTCACAGGTGGCCCAATGTGTGGCACAGTTGACTGTTCAAGAGTGAAGGCTGCCAGGAGGGAAGCACAGGTCAATTGCACATGACAACAAGAGTAGGAAATGGAGGTGCTCAGAGGACTCTGATTGTGGACAGAATTTAAAATGGAATGCCAATGCTGGAGTGTTGCTCGGAAAAAAGGAACACTGGGACTGGGAGTCTCCTCCAAAACCACTGTCTGGCTTCTGTCCTCAAAAGGGAGGAAATGGATACAGTGGCTTCCAACCGGCAAGGTTCCAGTACTTTTTCTTAGAAGAGCACCCTGTGTGGATATTCAAGTCTACATTTAATAACAAGGAGAGCGTAAAGACACTCAACTTTAAGAGAGGAAGGCTCCATGGGAGAGAGAAGTGCCCCAGATCCATAACAAAGTAAGATGATACTAGTGTTTGAAATCAGATAAAGGGGGTATGGGGAGCAAAAAATAAAACAATTTTGCATGCAACCTGTGTGGCTGGAAAGGATGAGTGGAAAAGCAAGACGGGGGAATCACCATGATGGATATGAGGGAGCCTTACCAGGCTGTGCGGAGCTGAGCCATGTTGAGGACACAGTTGAGGAGGGAGAAGAAGCAGGTGATGGCAGCGTGCTGGTTTTGGCCGTGGTGGGAGCAGAGGACTCTGTGACTGGAGACTCCTTTGCAGCACTGGCTGTGGTTGGGGAAGAAGCCCTGGGCCTCAGGGTTGTAGGTGTGGGCCTGGGTCTGGTGCTGGGAGCTGCTGTGGAGGAGGATGTGGAAGTGGTGGCAGTGGATGGCAGCCGGGTGCTGAGCGGGCTGCTGGGGGCAGGTGGAGAGCTGGGATGTGGAGAGGCTGTTTCCAGAGGGGCTTCTGTGCTGCTTGGTGGGTTGATCCCTGTGGAGAAAGAGGTCCTGGAGGTGCTGCTGATGGAGGTGGTGGCTGTGATCTTCTCTGTGGTCACAGGCGGCCCAATGTGTGGCACAGTTGACTGTTTGTGGGTGAAGGCTGCCAGGAGGGAAGCACAGGTCAGTTGTGGATGAGGACATAATGAGAAGACAAATGTGGTCACTGTAGCTCCAGACTGGGAGCACCAACTTCAACAACTTCAGCATGCTGCACTGAGCATTCATCAGTTAGAGGGAGGTGGGACCAAGGACTCTGCCTTATAGCTGCCCTCTTTTTTCCTCATAAAAAGGCAGGAAAATGACATGCTGCATTCCAACAGGCATGATGCCTGTTCCTCTTTCTGGAAGCGGACCCTGTGTGTATGTGCATGTCTCCCAAGGAATAGGAGCACATTAAAGTTTGCTCACTTCAGAAATGACACGGTGGCCAGTGTGGGAGTGACCGGAGCCCCAGGGCAGTACCAAATGACAACCACATCATGCTGCTGATTCAAAAAGAATTTGGAATGGAGAGCAAATTTAAAGAAAATATGCAAGTGGTCTGCACTCATGGAAATGAAAAAGAGAAAAGGGAGAGCACGCAGAAGCAGAAGGACATGTAAGAGAGGACCTTACCAGGCTGTGAGGAGCTGAGCCATGTTGCGGACACAGTTGAGGAGGGAGAAGAAGCAGGTGATGGCAGTGTGCTGATTTTGGCCGTGGTGGGAGCAGAGGACTCTGTGACTGGAGACTCCTTTGCAGCACTGGTTGTTGGGGAAGAAGCCCTGGGCCTCAGGGTTGTAGGTGTGGGCCTGGGGCTGGTGCTGGGAGCTGCTGTGGAGGAGGATGTGGCAGTGGATGGCAGCCGGGTGCTGAGCGGGCTGCTGGGGGCAGGTGGAGAGCTGGGATGTGGAGAGGTTTCCAGAGGCACTTCTGTGGAGACAGAGGTTCTGGAGGTGCTGCTGATGGAGGTGGTGGCTGTGATCTTCTCTGTGGTCACAGGTGGCCCAATGTGTGGCACAGTTGACTGTTTGTCGGTGAAGGCTGCCAGGAGGGAAGCACAGGTCATTGGTATGTTGCTGGCTTATGGGAAGTTTGGTGATGTTGACTCTTCTGTTTTGAAGGTTTTGTTCTCAGTTATGGGCCAGGATGGGAGGCCTGGTTCCCACTAAATCTGGTTGGTTTTGGGTTTGGTTTTTTTTCAGTTAATAAAGGTGTCCATTGTCCTAAATACGTTCCATCCTGTCCTGATTTTCTTTCCTAAGTACTTGCTGTTGACTATTTTGAAGGTTGACCTCTAGCAAGTTATCTCCTTCTTCCTCGAACAGCTGAGTGGGGAAGAAGTATCACTTGTTTACTGGTACTTTAAAACTGGCTCGCTGCCAACTTCTCTGGGAGGGATCCGTGGGAGGGCCAAGGCTAGTGAAGGGATATGGATGCATTGGCCAGGGATGACTCTTATCTCTTTCATGACCAGAGCACTCACCTGGTACTACTTTAGTAGTTGGTGTCTTAGCTCTGGTTGGCTCCCTTGCTACAAAGAAAGGGATGAGAGAAAAGAATGATTGAGTCTTGGGAACGATTCTTGGCAAAGCATGTTGTGGCATCTCCCCATAGGAGGATGAGGATCACAAATTTGGCACGTGGGTCTAAGTGAAAACTTTAGCCTGGAGTTGAGTGTACACTATCTTGCCCACCCTCCACTGGTGACTCTTGCACTCAGGGTCAGCATTGGTCCATGAGGTCATATTTGTTGAATGGCACTTTTTATGAGTGTGCCAGGGCCTAGGCATCCTTTGGCTGGAGATGATGCCTTGGGTTATGCCTCTCACTCAAAACTGTCCTGAGCTGTAAACTGGAGATGTGTTTCCAGTTTCCCTGCCTTTTGTTCACCCCTGCCCCACTGTGCATTCTCAGGGCAGCACTGTAAGAAGAGAGAGGTGTTTTAGCTTGGATCTGATTGGTAGCTGTAGGGCAGGAACTCCTGGATGCCTGAACCCTAAATAGAGGCCTGTGCCCCAGAGCCAAAGCCCTGAAGTTACAGGGAGAAGGATACAGTCAGGGCCATGTGTGGGTCAGGCCCAGCACCTGCCGGTGTCCCGTGGCAACAGCAGGGGCAATTGAGAATGAGTACCAAAACTGAAGCCTTTGTGGGACATGCTGCTTAGAAGAGAAGGGTGGGAGCTGGAAGAAGCAGGCAGAGCAGCAAGAAGAGCAGGAGAGAGCCTTACCAGGATATGATGTTCCCAGCTGAGTTGAGGAGAGGGAAGAAGCAGATGAGGCTGAAGTGACAGGCAAAGAGGTGGAGCTTGGAAATGTCCTTGTCAGTGGAGCTTCTGGGCTGGTGGCAGGGTTGGTATCTCTCGGGACAGAGGTGCTGCTGGTGGATGTGGGAGGGGTGGTCTGTGTCTGTGTCATGAAGTGCTGCACAGGCTGTGTCAAGGTTGTTCTTAAGTGGGTGACAACTGCAGAGAGAAAAGCACATGTTGATTGAGGGTAGGTCTGAAGGGTGCCTCTGACAATTTGACATTCCCTGCCTTTTTCTAAAGCCCCTGAGGAAAGAAGAGCCTTGTTGGATGCACATGTTCCCCCTCCCAAGTATTCCACACTGGGCAAGACCATCGTCTGGAAAAGCTGAGGTAGTTGAAGCAGAGTCTTAGGCCAAAGACATCTCTCTAGTCCCTTTTACTCACCTTCTGGGTAGTGCAGAGTGGTTGCTTCAGTTCCCTCACTCTCTGTGGTGAAAGAATGAATATTAGTAATGGTTGGGAGCTGGAATTGCTTGCACAAGAAGACCAATATATATGCACCCCAACAGTACTATGTGGGAGAAACCTGGGTTTGGGAAAGAGTGTACAGCTGCCCTCTCACTACAGTAGACTTCCCACCACACACTGTCCCAGCTTGTCAGTTGCAAATGTAGCAATTCATGTTGTCAAACAGCCTCAGAGGACACTGTCCTTGTTTGTATATTGAGTGACAGACATTCAAAAAGGTTCATATTTTTGGGGGGAGTATGTCTTGCTATGAAATATATAGGGGCAGGGGGAATATGTATTCTGTGGTCTGTGAGTTTTCAAGAACTTGCTTTGAGGCACAGAGATATTTTGTCTAAATTTGGAGGAACTGTTGGAAGAGAAATTTTAGCTTTACCATCATATTTTGAGGTCAGATGCTTGCTGCATTGGCAAGATAAATTTCCATTTTAATCACACTTCTTGTCCATGACCTTTCCTTTCTGTTAGCAATATTAAGACCACTAGTAAGAATGCTTGGCTTTTTTATAAGGAGTATATTGACATATGCCTTGTGAGTGATGGCTTCACCTGACAGATGTAAGAAATTGCTATTTACCTGCTGTTGTTATTTTAGGCTGGCTGAAAGTTGTGCTCTGAGTTGTGGTTTGAATAGGTATTGAGGAGGTTGCTGTTTCCCTTTTGGTGGTGGTCTTGAAGGGTGGTGAGGTGACCCCTGCTTGTTCTGTCTCAGTTGAAGCAGCAGCTGATGAGGCAGAAGGTGATGAGGGAGCAGACTTTGGTGTAGTGGCTGGGGTTCTTTTCATTGAGGTAGTTATGGAAGGGGTAGTAATGGTTGTAGTCATGTTTGGTGTGGTAAAAATTGATGTTGTATGTTCTTTTGGGGTAAAGGTAAAAATATAATGTGAGTAACCAATTCATAGAAAAATTAAAACCAGATAAATTATAAAGAAGATATTAATATTTTAGAGATAATTCTTTATTTTTCAAATATTTTCAGTATGACTGTTGTATTCATGTTCTCATAAGCTTACTAAATATTTCTGAGGTTACATTTGTTTTCAATTGTTTCCTGTCTGTCTCTGTTCTAATTTTCTATATTTTTCTGTATTAGATTTGTTTAATATATAAGTAGTTATCTTTGTGGTCACTTTGGCTAAAGTCCATGTGGGCTTTGTCCATTGGCTTTTATTATGTTTCAAATCAGCCACACTTGCAGCTTTATGCAACTTGTATTGAAAAGCTAAATAACATCATGCTATAGCCTCCCCTTGACTCAGTGCACAAATCATCTGTCACAATGTCAGCTTTCGTGTGTTTTGACTCCTTTGGGACCTGTTTTTACCTCTGCTTTCCCTGACAGCCATGGTCCAAGGTGGTTTATTAGCTAAAGTGCATGTTGGTATGACGCTAAATGAGGCTCCACAAACCACAGAATCAGAAAGTAATTTGTGCTGGCAGAGTCATCCTCCAGAGAACAGGACTTTGGAAGCCTAGACAAAGATGCTACATTGATCCCTGTGTGACTCTGCTTTGGGGCTTGCTTACATTGTTCAGAGCCAATAGATTGGGTGCTCCTTGAACCCCATAAATGAACCAGTGGAAAAGAGGCTGAAGCTGAGCTAATAAAGCCAACTGGAGCTGGGCTTGCTCACTGCTTACAGAACTTCTAATTGTCTATCTCATTTCTCAGATGACTCAGTTTTTGGTTGCACTTTTAACCTAATGCCTATATCCTGTATCTTTTTGTGCACTTTCAATCTACACTTCTGAACATTTCTGGTTTACAAACTTCCTTTCTGGAAGCCTGCACTGCCTGCTTCACGATTTGGAGTCTAATGTTTGGAGGTTGTGTGAATTTGAAATGCATTCCTAGGAATGGTATCTCAATGATGTACAGAGGTTTAGAACAAGCTTATAATAATTTATTTTAGACAATAACACTAAAAACCTACCAGTAGTTGACTTTATTGTGACAAGAGGTTTTGAGGGTGAAGTTCTTGGAACTGTAATTTTTGCAGTTATTGTTGGATTTGTAGTCTCAGGTGATACAGTTGTTGCAGAAGAAGTACTAGGTACTGTTGGAAGTGTGCTCATGGTAGAGCTTCCTGTTACTTTAGGTTGCACTGCTGTTACTAAAAGAAAAAAAATCAAAATTGAAAGATGAGAAATAGTCCTCAATAATCTATTGATAACATATATATTAATGGAATTTTTCTAAAGTAAAACAGGTGTTTTTATAGCTATTAGCAGTAGCTACTATTAAAACCCATTACCTTTTAAATTAAACCTTGAAGAGCTGTTATCCATTGCTTCCTTTGCTATTATGTGCAATGAATGCATTAAAGAGGTATTCCTGGAAATACCTTTCTCTTGACTTTAAAGTGAATCTGGCATAAACCCTAGTTCCTACCAGCAGAGATGGAACAATATTCCAATCCCCTATCAAATAGTATCCACAATTTTATTATTCACACAACCCACAGAATAAAGTTTTCCAATACCACCTGTCTTCAGGGAAATTAATGGAATTTCTGACAAATTTAAGATCAAGATCTGTAGATTCCTTTCCTGTATCAGGCTATAGGAATTTGGTATAGTCAGTCACACCTTTCCATCAAGACTTTCTTCAATTGTTGAAGCGCTATATGGCCAGTCCCTGGTAAGATTTGGCATAAATTTATGAGAGATCCTTTTTGTCATAGAATGCCTTGGGTTGGCTTAGACTATTAAAGATAATCTAATCCACTCCCTCTGCAATGAGCAGAGATGTCTACAACTAGATCAGGTTGTTCAAATGTCTTTCCAGCCTTATTTGAAAGCTCCCAGGTAAGGGGATTCAACAGAGTCTCCAGGCAACATCTTCCAGTGTTTTACCAGCCTCACCATAAACAATTTCTTCCTTATATCTAGTTTGAATTTACTCTCTTCTGATTTAAAACCATTACCCCTTGTCCCATCAGAACAGGCCCTACTTAAAAAGTCTGTCTCCATCTTTCTTATAAGCCCCATTCTAGTAGTGAAAAGCCACAAAGAGATCTCCATGGACCTTTCTCCTCCCCATGCTGAACAACCCCAGATCTCAGCCTTTTCTCACAGGAGAGGTGTTCCAGCCCTCTGGTCATTTTTGTGGCCCTCCTCTGTCTTTCTTGAATTAAAGACTGCAGAGCTGGACAGAGCATTCCAGGTGGGCTCTCATCAGAGCAGAGGGGCACAGTGCCCTCTCTTGCCCTACTGGCTATGCAGCTTTTGATGCTGCCCAGGATATTATGGTACAAGGACATTTTTCATCATTTCACCTTATGCATGTGAAACTGATAATGCTGCTATATCACACAAAAAAGGACATTATTGATTTCATAAACACTTATCAGGACATAATATCAGTGTGTAAATTACACAGTTGGTCAACTGTGTAAACTAACCTGGTAAAGGTGAAGATGGTTCGGGTGTGGTGGTAACATTTACTTGTCCTGTTACATAAAGGCAAAACAGGGTATATTTGTGAATAAAAACATATTAAAATATCCCAGATAAGGTGCATCTCATTGAATTGGATTCCAAGAACTGTGCTAATTACTGAGCTATTCCTGAAAGTATTTAATCTTACATATTTCAGTGGTCAAATTCACATCAAAGAACTTAATTACAAAGAAATCAATACATCTCATTATTATAATGAACACTAGTAAGTTTTTCCTATCTTTGTTATGACTTTTATGCCTAAGGACACCTCAGTTTTCAGGGATAGTGGAACATGGTTTTGTAAGAAAGGGAGATCACTAGCTGAGATCCTGGTTACCCAAGAGAGAATTTTGTTCGAGAATTTTGTTCTTAATTTTTCTTAATTTTGTTCTTATTTTTTCTTAAAAAACATTTGTTCTTAATGTTTTTTTACATCTGCATGAAAATCCAAACTGTCCAGTTAGAGTCTATCCAAAACCTTATTTATTAAGATAGGCTTTCATGGAAATAAGATATATGGTAAAACCTCAAGTTAATTAAAAAAAAAAAAAAAACAAACAACAAACTAGAAACATATTTACTGAATCCAGTAGCTAAATCTGCTCTTTTGCTACGTGTTTCCCTTTTTTTCCTGTGAAATGTGTTGAACACCTCTGAGACTCACAGCTCTGCTGAGCCTGTGACTCACACAGATTAGAACACCAATACTGTATTTTACAAGCAGTATAGTAATGGATTTATTTTGAAAGGAAGTTGTGTTTAGATGAACACTCATTTATGGAGAGATACTAGAAAAATATCTTCTCTGAGTCTGTGCAAAAGTTGTAGTGTGGTTTTCAAGTTACTGTGGAGAAAGAAATGCTGCTTACCACATGGCATGCACCTTTCTTCTTCATGGTCAAAGTATTCATCATGAGAGCAGTTGTAACAGCCTGAAGAAAGGGGAAGAGAAGTTTGTTTTACATTTCTCAGAGAAAGACATTTAATTTACACTATTTATAATTAAATATATTATATATCCGTTTTTTAAAAAAAGTATCACATTCAACATCATCTATTCAGGTAAGTATTTCCAATGTTATCCTCAGAAAGAGGTTTTGTCTATGTAGGAATTTGTATAGTTTCTCCAGCTATATCCATTTGTTTAATAAAAATATTAATTTCTCTCTCCACATTTTCTTTCCTAAGTAGAGTGCATTCTTTTGATTTGGTGCAAGTCAGAATTTCTCTTCCAGACAGCCTGAGCTTGATATAATGCTAAATTCAGTACATCTACTGAGTTGATTATGTACTTAAAACACTACTAGTAAGGGAAATATCAGCAAAACTTCTTCAAAAATAACATCAATTAGATTATCATTATTGAACTGTGACATGACTGATAAAAAAAAAAAACAACAGCACTGAAACAATTATGTTACTGTTTCCTGGTTTACAGTAGTAGAGATTATTACCTTCAATATTGACATATTTGTAGTTTTGATTTGGACAGTTACAAGGCCTGTAGTGCCAGGTGCATTTGTCATCATCGTAGCCATGGGAAAAAGCATCATCAATTCCTTTTCTTTTATGAGAATTGTAATACTCACAATAGACAGCTAAAGAAAGGACAAGCAAGAGAGAAGATTTTTGTTTTTCAAATTAATAACATGATTCTTCCAAAGTACTAGAAGGAAGACAAAATCAATTAACAGTTGGAATAAAAAAACCTTCACTGCAGTGATTAGCTTCTGATGTAAATATTTTAACTCACAGAAGTCAGATTCTTTTTTGCAAGTACAGTATGATGACATTTCCACAACTTTTCATACACAGTATATTGAAATGTGGAAAAAAATCATCAAAGATGACAACTCTAACATTGATTTGTAGCATGTTCATCCTCTTTTTTCCTTTGTATTTGCTGTTTTGGAACACCTTGATGTCATTTTCCTGTTTTACAGTGTTCCAGCCAACACAGCTGTCTATATTCCCTTGACATCCTCACAGAAATTGATTTCACCATAGCTCAAATGAAACATTTTTTTTACAATTTTATGCTTTCTCTGCTGGCAAACTCACAGTGCACTATACACTTCTGCTATACACTGATAGCAGAAGAAACAATCTGCTTTCTGTGAGCACATTATTTTCTCATTATTACATGGTAAAAAGAATTAAAATATTTTGGTAAAGTACAGATTTCAAAACCTGGTGACTGAAGTTAACTCTTTGCCCACAGACAAAATGCAAACTTTGAGGTAGTTATTACTGTTTCACATGCTGCCAAATGAATATACTGATAATAAAAATCTCTTAAACCTGTTTAAGGAGAGCTTAAGGAAACTCACGACAGAACTCAGGAGTCCTCCAGTCAATGCAGATGCCCTTTTCCAAGCATGCCATGGCATAGACTGCGATGGCATCACACATGCACTGGCAGTCCCCTCCAATGTCACACCCACAGGAGTCTCGGACACAGGCCTCGTAGTAGGGCATCCGATTCACCTGCATGGCAAAAGGAAGGGATTCATTTTCCAAGATTAATTTGTGCCTATCATGCTCTGTGTATATGCATAGCCACTGCAGCATTATCCACGTTTCTCACTGGTTTTCACCACCTGAAAATGTATTGATCAATATCAGGCATCACCAACAGATTCTTGGGACTAATTCCCGATTCTTAAGTCTTCATTCTTTTTTCACTCTTGTAGTTTTAGCTAATCAGTTAATAGCATACATAGGGTTTGTGTTCACAAAAGGGCTCGTGAAGTGCAAATAAAAAAAAGAAAAAGAAAATTAACATAAATGTGAGCCATAAGCATTTTTATATGTATTTTGCTGAAACATTTTACCAAATAGAAAATCACCTGTTGGAGCGTGAGCATTTGGAAGAATACGGATTATGCTTATAAATAAAAAAAAAGAGAAAATAAATTCTTACCTTATTGTGACAGGCAGAAAAAACATGGCTGTTGATGATGGAACATGTCTTTTCTGCCCATGCTTTACGATAAGGGTTCTTGCTACAGGGGTCCACTACAAAGTACACATCCCCACAGAGGGGATTCTCTTTCCAAGAGTTGACGAATTCCAGCTCGTTTGATGCCACATACTTGCTTCGAGTTTCAAAGTCATCCTTCATGTTGCCATTATAGTTACCACACAAACCACAGATGGTTTCCTAGATTCAATGAAAGTACCAATATCAATTCAGTAAGTTACAGTTCTCACCTTTCCTTTTGGTCACTGACTGTTTCCTGTGCTTTAGGAGCGAATGTCATCTACAAATACTCTCTCATACCATACTTGTGCATGGGTTTCTCCTCTAAACTGTAAACTCTCACATTTAGAGATCAAATTCAAATGTGCAATTGCATAAATTACAAACACTTAGCCCAAAAATTTCCTGAATGCAGTACAGAAATCCCTTAAAAGTTAGCCTCTTGTGAAGATCTCTGCTGTTTTGGAGATAATGCTAAAAATTAATTGCTGGTAGCAGTTCTGGAAAATCTTTGCCATCACAAAAATTCAAGACAACCATAATCAAATGGTCAATTTGAATGGAGGGACACTTTAAGGAAATTATTCTGCAATACCTGTGTTTCTCTGGAGATCTTGATGAAGAAGTTCATGTGCTTATTCCAAATAAGAGTCATGTTGTATTTTCCTGGGATAATGATATCAAACATCAGGTGAAGGGCATTCTTTTTCACTTTGTATTTTATACCAGGATTTTCCCCAGAGATAGCGAAGGTTTCATCTCTCAGTATGATTGTCAGATTCTGGAAGAAAATTTATTTGGGAGTTACAACTTCTCAAGTTTCAGTATTTTCCTTGCTGAAGTTCAGCTGCTGTGATACTGCAGCAGGAAAACAGTACTTTTTTGATTGAGCAATTCACTGCAGAGTAAACTTAAAAATTTCCTGGCTTCTACATAGACAAGATTCTTGGAGAATGAAACACAACATGAGAATTTTAAAAACCCAAACAAACAGCTATGGCATTTCCTACTAAAACCAAGGCTCTAGGTTTAGCACATAGATCTTGTAAGTGAAATTTTCTCTTAAGATACAGCTAAAGCTTCCAATAAATGAAGAAAACCTGTTCTTAAAATCTATTCAGCTGGATAATGACAGAAAGAAGAGCTTACCCCAAGGTAAATGCTGATGGATCTGGAGCACGTAACTCCTGATTTCCCACAGATGACATTCTCAGTAACAATTTTGAAAGAGGAAATGGGTCTGTTAACACTGCAGCCATCCTAAAAAAATACCCAAAACAAACCACAAGAAGCACAAAGGCTCAGTAGACTGTGCCTGAAGTCTTCCAACTTAAAACATTAAAGTATAAGAAAACACAGGATGCTTAAAATGTCACGCGTAATTCTGTTTTATGAGGCAATGACCTCTGCTTTGCTGGTCAAACTGATGTAACTTCCCTAAAAGACGTATTTATCTGGTACAGAATACAATGACTATTTAAACATATTTTTTAAAATATAAAATTGGTTATAACTGCATGAAAATTATGTTTTTTTAGAAGTAAAATATTTTCATTCTAAGCATTGAAATAAGTATAATATATAGAAACTCAGTAAGTGGTTATAAAGATTCAAAGTACTGTATTGTTAATTGATGCATGCTAGCACATTTTTATTAGTCTCTTAAACCCAGCTATTTCTTGGTGCTGAGATGCTGCTGCAATAACCAGAAGGAAGCAGGTTACCATAGCTAATATGTATTCACAGTTGCCATCAAACACAAAACGCTGTCCATCAAAGGTGGTGATGTGGCCTTCTCCATACAGATTACAGGTGGAGGAACACCTTGTTTTCTGAACACATTTCCATTTGCCTTTCGTGCAAGTGCTGGGAGTGAGAACAGAAACCACACTCAGATTTCAAATAAATGCCATCTTCACCTGCTTATTTTTATACATATCCACTTTTATCAATAACATGTTCAATTAATTGACTTATGTATACTGAGACCAAGTTATGGTTAATATAAGAACCAGAATTAAAATTTATGGACTGCCTAGAAAATGAATTAATAATAAAGAAGAAACCTTTTTGTACTTTGTATTTTTTGTATTTTTGTACTTTTTTCATTAAAGAAAAAGTATATAAAACCCATTTATTTTTGCTCTTAATGAGATCAGAAATCACTGCTCTGTGTAGTTTGGGGAGTGTTATTTTGGTTTTTTTTAATAATAGATTAGTTACTGGAAAGGGAATAAAGTACTTTGAGAATGCTACTAAAGAGATGGGAATCTTTCTGGGGGTGGTTGCTTTTATCTACAGAAAAGCAAGATAGATTTTGCCCTCATCTTTACTTAAGTGGGTTGTTAATAATACTTGTCTTTATATCATTTACAGTCACAGGCCCTACTCATGCCTTTATTCCTGGACATACATAAGGCAGAAATTATCCCCGAAGTTGGTACAATGACTCTTATCCATACACATATTATCAAATGTTAAGCTTCTTTCTCTTATTAATTCCCGTACTCTGTCATGGTATTTGTTCCTTTCAGTTGTTGCCATTTCCTACTCTCAAGTCAGTTAAACACTTATTTTTATGTGACTGTACATTTCAGTGAAACTGAAGATTTGCAATGAAAAACCCTGTGATTCTTACCAGATATCACATTCTGTCTGGATTTGTTCACCTCTTCCATAAGCAAGGCCACCATATTCACATGGACACTCCTCAGCTGGCACACACTTGCCATCAAGATTTTCATAGAGGCCATCAGCACAGACACAGCCTGATTCACACTTTGTGGGTATCTGGGAAAGGCCAACAGATTGCAAAACAAAAAGAAAAGATTGTGAGATGTATTTTATCTTGGATGTGAATGGTGTCAAGAGTGAACCTGTGCCAAGTTGTGTTTGGGCTTGATTTTAGTTTTGTGATGTTCTTTGTATTAATATGCTGTCAGATGAACTAGTTTCATTGAAGCTGTAACTTATACTTGTGGTCTGAGATACTAAACATACCTGAAGACTCTGAAAAATTTATCTTCCATCACTACCAGTCTTTCAAAAACAGTACAACAGAATATTCTTCATATAAAGGAAGCTTATTACAATTTTTCCAATTAGTCTGTTTCCTTAATATAAGAAAACCCTATTAGGACAGCCCAGATCTTCGCCTGGCCCAGGTCTCCTGCATTCTGTGATCAACAGCAGCTAAGAGTTGAGAAAAAATAGAACAGGAAGCATAAACCCCATATTTCCATTGACATGAAGTCACAGCTTATGGAGTACCTGAGCCAGAGATTATAGCCATGTAGTTAAGCATCCTTAATGGATTTTTATTCTAATAGAATTTAATTCATTATTTCATGCAATTAATTTCTTTAATAACTTCTTAAATATATGTACAATTTTTCTGTCCACAGCCTGATATTTAACTGCATCATGTAAAATAAAATAATTCCTTTAATTTCACTAGAAGCAATGTAGTCTAGTTTTAAGTAACAACTAGAACATTCTACCTCTCTCAAAAGGACAAATATCCGAGAGCTGTGAAACTCACACATTCAATTCCAGTAGCCAGCATTTGACAGGTAGGGGCACATGCAGCTCCATACTTGTTTTCTAAATTGTCAGAAGAACATGATATGTATTTCTTAGGAGCTTTGCAGTTTTCTAGGAAAAAGGAAGAAAAATTGACATTGAGGAGAAATTAACATAGAAGAGAACAGTGAAGTAGTAATTTTAAAAAATAAAGGACAGAAAATATTTCTAAGTAAACAATATCAGACTCCTACCTGCAGGATTTTGAGGTTTGCCTGTGCAGCTTAGCCTCCCATTAACACAGTAGCTAGGAAGAAAAAAAAAATCATGAAAATCTCTTCTAAGAAAGAAATTTTGATTTTCTGCAAAATTGTTTTATTAAAAACGTTTCTCTCATGTTACGACCTCCTTCCCATCCTTTGAAGTAGAATATGAGTCTTGAATGTGTCTCTTCACTTTTTGTATTATAAAGTAACATCATTTTGGAAAGTGAATGTCTGTTATCACTAATAGGCAATTGTCACTATGAGGATGGCCTATCAAGTTATTACAGAAGTTTGTCTGGAATATAGCTAAGTGCTGTTGACAAAATCTCCTAGTAGGAATAATCAGATCTCAGCTATTATATTTTATTTTTCTCTGTAACATTTCCAAGCTGAAGGTAAGTAAAATGCTTTCTGTTCAGTTAGAATATCTGTAGTTTAGAAAAGGGCAAAAAAGTTGTCTTGAAAAATAAATTTATGCTATTAAAAATAAAGGAGACTGTACTGGTTTGGGCTGGAATGGAGTTAATTTTCTTTTTAGCAGCTCAGTGGTGCTGTGTTTTGGATTTGTGACCAAAACGTTGTTGATAACACAATGTTGTTGTTGCTGGTGCTGAACAGGGTCCCAGCATTCTTTCTCCTCAGGCTGCCCTGCCAGGGAGGAGGCTGAGAAGCAAAGTGTTTTCATTCTGAACAGAAACTGGGAGGGGACACACCCAGGAGAGCTGGCCCCACTGACCAAAGAAAGATTCCATACTATACCACATCAAGCTCAGCAATAAAAGCTCAGGTGAAGAAGGAGGGATGTTCTGAGTTACAGTACTCATCTTCCCAGCAAACAATTATGCATGGCAAATTCATGATTTCCTGGAAACATCTGAATGGCTGCCTGCTGACAGGAAGTTCTGAATCAATTCCTTACTTAGCTTTGATTGTTCATGTTGCTTTGCTTTTAAATAAGCTTTTTGCTTATTATTCATAAAGAAATTTAGTAAACTGTCTATATCTCTACCCATAAGGTTTCTTGCTGTTGTCCTTATTCTCCTCCACATCCTGCTGGAGTGAGTCAGTAGCTGTGTGGTGCTTGTCTGCTTACTGAAGCTGACCCTTGACAGAGACACGACAACCCTCTTCTCCATTTTCACTTTGTTCTCCTTTAAACTTGACACACTTACCAGGTGATCCCACCAGTCATTGTTGACTGGTCAGGCAGGATGTACTTTCTGTCCTCTAAGTAGCAAGGACAATGAGATTTATGAACACACTCATTCTTGTGGTTCAGGTACATTCCTTTAGGACACTGGCAGCCTTCAATAGGAATATCAGTTGGATGGCATTCCAGGGCTCGGTTGGAGAGTGACAAGCATGTCCTGTCACATGCCTGAGTGTTGTAGCTGAATGTTTGATTGCCAGTGCAAGTAATGGCTATAAAACAAGATAAGAGCATATGTTAAACTTCATTTACTGATTGTCTTCCTTGTAAAAGATAATGTCCTTTTGCTTATTATGTGCTGCTTATTTTGTGCCAATAGTTTCATTGCTTAATGCTTCCAGCTGCTTCTCTTCCTGTGGATGTGGAGCTCTAGCAAAACATTTTGCAGACCAAGATTTAACAGCAAACTATGCAGCTGTTCAGAAGTTTCAGGCAGGTAAAATACCTTACAGCTTTTTTGTGAATCTTGGAATTTAATAATGCAAAGGAAGCTTAGCAGAAATATCAGTGTATTTTTGAGTAACAGTGAAACCCATGCATGTGTCTGAGTTACAAAATTATAAAATAAAATCTGTAGTCAGTTTTCCCTAGTTCTTTCCCATTTTACAGGATAGCTTTATTTTTCTGGCTATTCTATACCTTAATTACCAAGTCCTGGAAACATCCACATGCTCACCTTAAAGCATATTAATAATCTTTTTCATATAGTCTTGAAATAACAACCCTGTTGAGACAGACACCAGAAAGGTATCTAATAGTTGGATATTTATTATCCAATTGCAGGTCTTATTTCTGATCACTATTTCCTCATTACTCATCTGATGGCAGACCACTAAGAGCTGGTTCAGGTACTCACTGCAATTGTCCATACTGCTCCTCCAGTTCTCAAGGATTAAACCCATGGAACTGCATGCTCGTGCATATGATCCCAGAGCAGAACAAATATAAGGAAAGGTCTCCTCATAATTACAGGCTTGGTAGACACATCTCTGAAACCCAACACACAGAGAGTACTTTGTTACTGAGGACCAGACATTTGGAAATGCTAAACCCTGAAGGTATTTGAAAGACATGTGGATGTGACATTTAGGGACGTGGTGTAGTGGTGGACTTGGCATTGTTGTATTTATGGTTGGACTCAATGATCTCAAAAATCTTTCCCAACCAATATGATTCTATGCTGAACTACAGAACTAAGTCACACAAGATACATATAACTGCATAACTAAATCTCATGGAAAATATCTGAGTAATTGCATTGCTGATGTAAATAAAATTTACTTAGTACCCTAAAAAATGCCTTTGTTCATTTGCTGCTTCTCATTTTTAATATTCAAAATGTTTTGTGTAGATTGAAAAGTACTAAACTCAATTATGCACATGGTAAAATCGACACTTTGCACAGTTAAAGTTGTTGTCATGGACAACTGCAGCATGAGCAAAAATATTTTCTGATTCACAGGGATGGGACTGGTGCCTGTGACCAAACAGACTTTCAGTGTGGTGGAGACATAATTTTCAAAACCAGACCTGTTTCCTAAGCTTCTCTGCATTGCTGATTCAATGCGTGGGACACCGTATATGAGTACAATCTGGTTTATATTTGGACTCCCTCTGTACAACATCCATCATAATAACTTCATACCTTGTAGAAAGGAATAGGGTTCACCACAGCATGGCATTTCTCAAACACTGTCCCCTTCTTGGTCAGAATGGAGCAATGAGTCTCAGCAGATATTTCTAATGAAAGTAAACAATAAACATTAAAAAGGGAAAGTTAGGGGGAAAAATGGAAAAGGAAATTTTCAAAAATTTGGTGTTTTAGGCGAACTTTCGGCAATGATGCACTGAACAATAGGACAATTCCTAGCTTGTTAGCTTTCAGACTCTATTCTTGTACAAGTAGCTCAGTAGAGCTTTTTTTTCTTTTTCACAATTTATTTTTTTTAAGACCAATAGCAATAGAGAGTTGGGAAGACAAAACCTGGATTTCAGTCTCAGTACTGCTGAGCAAACCTAAGACACCTGTGGACATTGCAGTTTCACTAGACAGATCAAACCACTCTCATTCATCATCTCAATCCCAGATCTGAATTTGTGAGGTTCAATCCTCTCAGTCTCTGTTTCTGTGCAGCTCTCTCATTTCCCTGGTATGGGCTTATGGAAGTGTCAGACAAAGCCAGCTGGAGAGATCAGTTACCACAGCATAATGTACTTACTGTTCAGTTGGCTCAAAGCGCAAGGGTCAGTCTCTCTCTCTAAGGCAGGATGGCAATTTCCTGCCCTCCAGGAATCTACAAACAGGGAGGCTGTGCCTTCAGTGATGTCCATGCTAGTCATGAAGTCATCTGTAGTGTCTCCATTGTAATTGCCACACAAACCTGACAACATCAGAAATGCAAGGGAAGGCGGAAATTAAAGAACGCGTGCACAGTGGCCCATGTTTCATGCTATCACAGTGAGACAATTGATTCAGAAGTTCTACATAGAGTGTCAATCACTACTCAGGTCAGTGAAGTAGTCAGAGAATGTTGATTATGTACATATTCAGTCACTGAGCCTCTGCCTCCTCAAGTTAAGAGTGTCAGCTTCTAATCAATGACAAAATCATAGAGAAGTTTTTGTCTTTTTTTCAGAAAAAAGTGGTTTTAAATAATGTAAAAAAGAAAGGCCATGAAAAACTTTTGAAGTTGCATGTTTTCTTATGTATATTAAATGCATAATGACAAAGAATATGCATTTAGGATTTTGTAAAAGCCAAAGCCTCTCTGTAATTCCCCATAATCAGAACGCAAAATACGCTTCTGTGGCTAATGTTGCTGCGCAATAAACATCTCCATCTGGTGATTTCCAGCTCAGAAACTTTTAGATTCTTCGGCCCATTGTGTTTACAGTGGTTGTGCACTACATTCAAAGAACTTTGTGCTCCAAGATGCAGAGACCACACAGACTTATTTGTTGCTCCTTCATTGTGCAGTTTAGCACATATTGAAAAAGGCACAGATAAAATACAGAACAGCATTGTGCTATGTGTGAAAAATGCGACACCTTTAGATTCTTTGATTAATTTTAAAGTTATTAGTGAAAAATCAATTCCGTTTCCAATGCTTTTTTTTTTCTTTGAATCTGGAAAAGAAAATTGATCTCCTAAAAGATGAATACTAAGTTATCAAAATTATACTCCCTACATTTCCTCTTTTGCAAGGGGATTTGTTTACTTACCAAGTGTTCTGCCTTTGAATTGTGATCCAACTTTCACGTAGGCCTGGAACACAGGCGACGTTTGAACTGCAAGTTCCAGCCCAAAGTTTGTATGCATCTGAACGTACATGGAGGACTGTCTGAAAACAGTGATGTCTCCTGAAGGAACAAGCACGTTTAAAAATAGAGATGTTGGTGATGCTGCAAGGTAACGATTTTAACACATATATAAATGTTCTAGCACTCTGTCTACAACTCTTCTCCCACACACAACTCTCCACAGAGGAACAGATGCAGCAGGAGAGACTTTAACCTTCCTCTAAAACCCCTGGTATTAGCAATTGAAAGATGGTGAAAGATGCTGGGTTTTGTAAAAACAGACAATTTAATTTGGATATAACTTATATTCCCCCTTTATTTTTTACCTGATCTGTAAGGCAGCCGCTTGAGTTCATCATCATCAGTAAGGAGATCATTCTGAGAAATCACAATTTTGTCCTGTAAGAAGAAGACATGGAATCAGAAGTAACTATCTTTACAGATGGTATTTATATGTTAAGTTAAGCAGCTGTACTCTTGATGATCTATGTAAAAGAAAAAAATTAATTCAAGCATTTTCTCACACTATAACATGCTGCTTTTATCTTTCACTCTGAAAATACCTTCCTGAGTTGATGCAGCAACTGAGATCTTTACTGTGTATACATGAGCAGAAATATATCTTTAGTATTTATCTTCCATAATTTTTAAGTTGAAGCTACCAGCAATGACTTTGAGCACTTATTTTGCTAATCTAGTGATAAAATCCTGGATGGAACCTGTGGAAGGAATACATACCTTTGCAGATTGGTAAATTATAGCACTAAGTGAGGTTTCAGAATGAGAATAACCAGTCTTTTCATACACAGCCATTAGGGTTCCATTGTGTGGCAGGCTGGAACTCTGGAGGGAAATGGAAAAGAGAAGTAAAAAGAGAAGCCATGTCAGTATAACAATAATTTGTAGAATAAATGTATATCTTATGAAGTCCTCAGTTTGTGTTACAATAGGAAAACAAATACTGACTAAAATATATCCATCTGATATTCTGTTGAAATTACCTTCATAAGAACATAAGTGCAAACCCCGTGGAATCGATATGGCCTCGAATCAAACGTGGTAACAAAGGAGCCTCCTTCCAGTGAACACCTTCCAGGGCAGGGCAAATCTTTGCAGTTCCACTGACCCATCACACATTTACTGCAGAAAACAAGATATTCTGTGCAAGGTTATTCTTTTCTTCATGCTCTAAAAGCTCAGCTACTTCCTAGCAATGAAATACGCTGTTTTTATCACTTATCTCCTTTTGTTTTCTATGCTTTATTTTCTTTGTATACATATATCAGTTGAAGCTGCTCATCTTAATTCAAAGTTGCTAAACTCTTGTATGGATTGTCAGTAGACTTTCCGAAACTGTGAAAGGTGCTGCCCTTCGAAAAATGTTTTTAGGCAAAATTTTCCAATGGTCTGGTAAAGGTACTTTTTATTCTCTCATGGAAGTATCTGTTGCTACTCACCAGGTCCTACAAGCTGCTTTCATTGTCTCACCAGGAGCATATGTTTTCCCATTCAGTGTACATGGACACTGGCTGATGTGAACACATGTCCGATTCTTTGAGATATCATCAAGAACAGTTCCTGCCAAAGAAGATAAACAAAACATTTTTCTCCATCTTCACTTAGCACTACAGTAATTATGGCTTGAGTGCTTTCTCAAATTAGCCTGAGAATGCTATTCTTGCACAGCCAGTGTCCATACTCTGAGATGTAACACGCAGAATATTTTCTCCTAATTAAAATTATACTGAATATTCACATGTGACAACAGCTTTTGACTACTTTGTCATATGAAAGTAAAGTCAATTGTCCTATTTTGAAATGCAAATGATAGTAATAATCACAATTTCTGTAATGAATTAATATTGAATAATTTTAAAGGGAATTTACAAAATTCCCATAATGCTGCAGAAATACTCTGAAGCATGCTACCTCTTCCTGGTGTCTGATCAATGTATATTTAAGTAAATAACTTTAAGCAGATGGCATATCTTTATCCCATCACAAACCATGACCTTGTGAGGAAAATGTATTCATAGCTCTCTTCTTGTGAAGAGTGACCAGCCATCTTGAAGGACCACAATTACTCAAGACTCCAGTTACATTATGTTACCTGAGAAAGAGCAGTTCTAGCAGCACAATGCCCTGAAATGCACAGCTAGCTCATTATTAAGCAGTCCATTCCACTTGACTGGATATGTGCAAAAACATTTGTGTGATCCATTAAGAATATGATGAAATGATACCTTCTGGACAAAAGCAGCCATAGGTACAGTGATTGGAACAGCTGTACTCTGGGTTGGAACAGGTTTTAATACACGGAGAACCACATTCCTCATAGATTTGGTTTGCAGAACATTTTCCCACAGCTGCAACAAACAGTGGGAGTGTTAAGATTTTTAAAGTGTAAACATAGAATATTTCACCAGCTACCTAGCAAGGAAAAGACCTTCTGATTTCTGACACTAACATTCTTTTATCCTGCCTCAATATTAATTTCTTCATTTGAGTACTCTTTATTCATATATTATCATATATTCACTCTGGCTTTCTTTAATTTTTCTTGCCCAAAAAATTGGAAACATTTTTTCAGAAGCTTGGAGAATGGCAAACAGGCCATACTGCAGCCTAATGAAGTACCAAAAATCAGATTTTCTGTAGTACTTCAAGGTTTTGCTTCCAAGCAGTCATTGTAAATAAGAACATCTGAAAAGGGCTACTGAAAATCATCTTTTAATAAAAGGAGCTATGGCAATTATTAGCAAAAAAGTTCAAAGGCTTTGGGGGCTATTTAAAAGTGCTCTCTCTTCACTGGCTGATTTTCCAAGTACAGTAAGAAGAAAACTGTTCGTAGAACAAGCAGCCCCCTGTAGGAAGTTTGAGAAGTTAAACAGTTTTCACTTGGTGGATGTTTATCTACTTTATTGTCACTGATCTAGGCATAGGAGCTATGTTTGGAGCTTCCTTCTTTGAGGTTTCCCTGCCCTCCTTACAGCTTTATCAAAGAACACTGCTCTCTGTAGAAAATCATTTGTTTGATTAAAGACAGTAGAGACTTTTTAAAATATTCCAGTTATTATCATTATCCCTCTATTTAAGACACAGAAAAGTTAAGCACAGTCTCTCATGAATAAACCATTTGAACTTACAGCAGAAGTTTTCAGTTCTCCAGTTGAACACCATTTGGTGGGACATGGCACATTGCCTGGAATACTCTGACAGTGTAGAGCAAGTGCAGTTGTTTTGTCCTGGCTCACTGCAGTCCTGCATATCAAGCTGGCAACGAATGACAAACCTATCCTTGGGCACACTGCAGGTTGGTGACACCAAATTAAGTAGCTGAGAGCAGATCACAGCCTGAATAAAAAGAGAAAGAATATTGTTCCTGGTGGTGTTTCCTTCATATGAAAACCGCAGCGGAATAACACTGCTAGTTATTCCTAGTAATATGCTAGATTTTCTTGTTACTTTGTTTGCTTTTCCCCCCAGAGTTTTATAATGGATATTTGACTTAAAATGCATGAGAAGTTCACAGATAGAAAGGAATATAAATTCATTGTACAATAGAAAGAACTTGATATATTGAAATAATTCCACTTCTCATTATGTTAAAAATTAAGTCACTTTCTGTGCCATCAGCCCCCCTAAAAATGGCTGAGAACATTACACACAGGAAATGTGTTGTCTCATGGCAAACATGAGACAACATGTTCCATGAAAAACATCCCAGATGAGAAGATCAGAAAATTCATTCCTCTTGGAGCACACACTTGGTGCATTTCTGGTGCCTGCATGTTTGTGTTGCCTGTGATGTGCCTACTGCAGTGTAGGGTCTCAAAGGTTCTCAGGCACACTGATTTTCTTTTCACTTAGAACTGTGATAGCTGTTGATGATGGTTGTCCCTGTTATCAGTGCTGTTATCTGGCAATATGTTGTAGGCATTGTGAATATCTTCAAATCTGTACAGCTTATACTATCAGGTCTCCAGGTGTTAGTTAAAAAGTTCTTAAAGCTTTACTGGTTTCTATGAATTTCCTGTGACAACCTGCCTGGAATCCCAGAAAGTTCTGAGCTAAATGCTGGTTGATTTTTATGAGTGATTTAAATCTAGCCTCAAAATCGCCTGTGGCCTTTTATTCAAATGTGGTTTTAATGCAAAGAACTCATTTTCTTTCTCATATCATGCAATACAGATGTTGACTGTACCCATTTTCATGGAAGTAATTTTTATGAAACCACTGCCCCTCTGCTGTTGATTTCTATTTATCTTGCCCCCTGCTAAGAATCATGCTGCAGAGAAGCCAAGAAGATCTTTCTTACATATTTTTTGTGAGGAACAGCAGAAATTGGTATCTCCTCAGACAGGCAGATCTCTGATGGATCATCCATTTTTTGTAATGCAGCAAATTTATATGTATCCAGCAATTTACCTGGAAATTAAAGGGTTATAATTTGTCAGGAAAAAGACTGATTTGTTTACTTGTTGCTGTGATGTAGCAAAACTCAGATTTTACTCTTTGACTGTTAAATGTCCTACTACTTAATTTTCCCAATGATAACAACTGCCTCTTGTGGAAGTCAGGAGAGTGTGATCCTTACCTAAACCTGTTTCTAAAAGATAAGAGTCCTTATCACTTGTGTGAGGAACCCATTGTATTATGCTTATAGAAGATAACAGAGTGTAGCATAATCATATGAGGAATGTTTGTGCCCCATGGGACTGCTTTACTCAATTCTGATACACAGCAATGCTATCACAGGATTCAATTTTCACCTTGACTCACTTTAACTCATTCTCCTCCTTTCTGAAATGTCCTTGTCTCTTACCTTCACGGACAAATTCATTCAATTCATAACCATCATAGTTCCCACACATTCCACATGTTTTCCCCATGTATTTTTTTTCAGCCAAAACCTAAAATAAAATAGAAGAAAATATTTTAATGGATCACCCTAAGTAAAATTATCTATACAGCAATAACTTTCTCAAACATATTCAGTGCAAGCACTCAATTAAAAGTGATTCTTCTCATTAATTTCAGTGACTTTTTGAAGGAAGAATTCTGTAAGCAGTGAAGTCTTTTCCCAATAGGCAAATAGTGATTTTTTGAAATTAGTATTTATTAAAAAAAATATATTTGAAGACACAGGGAACTGAGGAGGGATAACATTCTAAGATCCAGGAAAAAAAGAAAATAATGCTGAAGCCTTGCTAATGTCTCTGTTGACAGAGCACAAATTTCAGGTTTCTTCTCTAAAGAAACTTAAGAAAGAAAGGAAGGAAATCTATTTTCAGAAGAAGGTTATTCAGTTCTCTGTTGTTCTGGAGACTAAAATGGTAGTATTACTACTGGCTACAAACAATGAATTATTATGAAAATCTTAGATCAGAGAAATAAAACTATATTCTTTGTACAGTCAGATTAACCCAACACTACTATTTTCTCTTATATATGTGATAATAATGCTGATAAATCTCCCAGACAATTTTCTACATTTCCTTGTTTTAGCAAACTTAATCAATTTAGAATTCAGTGTCTTTTGTGGTAATAATACCAAGGTCACACTGAGAAAATGTACTGGGGATTCTGAAAAGAAAACCTGAGAAGATTCTGAAAAAGAGAAAAGAAACTGATAGAAGCACTCGATATTTGAAACCAAAAGACGTCCCAGGGAAGCCCAATAAAAAAGTCATAACTATGGCATACAGTATTTAAGTTCTACACAACTTTAAACATCTCTTAAGAAAAAGATTGCAGCTGCTGGAACACCCTGAGGAAAGATTAAAATGTATGCAAGTATCCACAAATCTCAGCACTGGTGGCTTTAGCTAACTACCAATGCTGCAAGGGAAAGTAATATGCAAAGTTGATTATTTCAAGAGGAATGGATACAACAGGAAAAGAATAAATATCAAAATAGTAAATACATGCAAAAGCACCCATTAAGTTCAGAGAGTTCTTGCCATTCCAGTAAATCAGTGAGAATTTTCTTCCCTGCTCTATGAGAACATTTTACTAACCATGAGGTAGTCATCATTGTTCCACATTACCACCAGTTCCATCTCCATCAGCTTGGCTACCAGGCGGATGTTGCGTCCATAAGGTGCTATTTGGATTCCATTGCTGGTGTAAGGCAGCTGAATGACACTGGAACAAGGTGAGAAGAGAAACCAATCTCATAGCAAGATTATGCAGGTATTAGTTATTTATTTTGGATGTGATATGTACCCAGTCTGAGTACTTGCAGCAACATGACACAGAATTTTTTTCCTTTTTAACACTGACATTTCAAAACACATGAAAGTTTCTGTTGACTGAAAATCCACATAAGCAGTTTCATAGTAGGATCACCCAAAAATGGGTTGCAGTGATTCTACTACTAACAATATTTGCAGAGGACTTACTATCTTCACTTGGTTTGGTTTTATTAGAGCACAGTTATTTGTTTCAAGAACCATGAAGCTGATTATAGTGAAACTAATGCTGATTATCCTGAGAAGAGTCTATGGCATTGTAATGTAAGAATTATGACTGAAAATTGACAATATCAGAGAAACCCATAAAGAGAATGTTGTACAGTATGAGTGCTTGATGGGAAGCAATATATAGGGGAGTATAGTTCAGTTAGGTGTGTTAACTTCAGTAATTTGTTAATTCATTTTTGACACAAAGCAGTTGTCAGTGCACCTGCTATATAACCCCCCTGCACCTGTTATATAACTCCCTGCCTTCTCTAAGCACTTCATGCCCCACTCATGGCAGAATCTTACCCAATACTCCTGATAGAAATGCTGCCTTTCTCAACAATGACAACAGAAGGTCCAAGCTCAATAATGATCCTTGCAATTTTTTTGTCCAGCCCACGACGGAACTGAACGTTGAAGTCTGGGCTGGTCTCATCACATACAGTTGCGAAGATGTAGTTGCAAGTCCCACTGAAGTCATACTGGTATTTATCAAAGGTTGAAAAATGCCCTCCTCCCCAGGTAGAACAGGAATCCTTGCTCAAAACTACAAAAGAGAAAGACACATAGATTTAGCATATTTGCTAATTTTAATTAGCATTTCAAATATAAATACTAGGACAAGCTATTAAGCTTCTGCTCAGATTAATTCTGTAAACAACATTCTAGCCCTCTGTTTTTTTTTATTCTTTTGTAATCTCAAAATTTTATCTCAAGTCAGGAAGTTAAACAATATTAGGAGTGACAGCAAAATTCTCATTTACTGTAAGCAGAGGAGAATTCCCTAACTTCCTAGATTAGAAAAAGCCCTTTCAAAACTTCTAAGGGTAATATAAAGATTTACGTTCTTATTTCAGTCTGCTAGATCCGTTTGCAAAGGTGACAGCTTGCTACTGGACAGAGCCTTAACATTTCAGGCACAGCATTTACCAAGCTATGGCATTACTCTATCATGATTAACTGCACAGTCAATCACCAGATATCCAAAGACAGTCTTCAAAGCCCAGCTTGTAATTCCACACTCTCTCAACTGTGTATTTATGTGACAAAGTTCCAGCCATTTTTATAAATATATGGATTGTTTTAATCAGTTTTAATTTTTAAGAAGTAGTCTGGAATGTTCATCTGAATAGACAGATGTTCATATGTGGAAATGAGTCCAAAAAAAAAAGAGATACAACTCCAGCACCTGCTGTTAGATAGTTCTCCACCTACTTACAGCATTTGAACAGTCCCTCTGAAGCTGATAATTTTATTGAAGTACCTAAAATCATGTCCTCAGTTCTGCATTTCCAGACTTAAGATTGTTACTTTCATTTTTTAATTATTTCTTCTTATGGTATCATATGAAGCTCAGGTATCTTAGCATATATCTTTGAGTTACAAAGTATCAGATAAGTTTATCAAAGTCTACATGCAATTTACATTTATTGTTTTAAAGACAAAACATCTCTTTTAACTGTAAAGGAGAGGTCAAATAACTGCACAATGCACAAATGGTTTTATCCAGGTCATGCAGAAAATACTGTTTCCCAGTGAGCAGTTACCTGTTGGCAAAAAGTACTCCTCTTCCACACTTCTGTTCTGTCCTGAAGGTCTGACTGGAAAATAGGAATTTTCTGATTGTTATCACTGATCCTTCATGCCCAAGTCCAGCTAGTTTAATATACTGTGCCTGAGAGATACTGACCACCAAACCCCAGAGTGTGCCAAGGAATGATTACCCAGGGCTGCACAATGGTCAGAGTGCAAGAGGCACCCCTTTCAACAAACACAGGAGCATGGTCACTGTATTTGTTTTTATTTAAATCTTATCAAAGAAAAATAACAAATGGGAATGTCAATAACTCAAGCAAGTTTAAATCCATATTATGTGTTTGTCTTTTGAGTTCAGCTTTTACTAAATAAAATCTAGGGTTTTTCTTTTAATTAGTCCATATCACGCTCTACTGTTTCTATTGCTGTAGGAACAGACAGCAGACAGAGACGAGTTCCTGAATATTTGAGAATTTTTTGTCAGACTAAAAGTCTTTCGGCTATTTTTACTTTACGGATGAACTCCGTGTAGCTTCTCTATGCTTATACTGAATGAGAATTCTCCTAATTCAAGCCACTCTCAGTTTCTTCTGTCTAAATAAATGCTTATTATAATAAATTTTCATTTTACATAATTATTTTTCTTCTACACCTCCACATTTACCCCAAATGGGATTAAGAAGTTCATTTGGCTACTGGAATGCAACAAGCTTTGGAGTACAGAGAATTGATTTTTAATGGTTTGCAGAAGCAAAGCATATTTTACTGTAAAACCTTAAAAATATGAATTACTAGGAAGATTGTCTGTAAATAGACTAGGAGAGAAAAAAGATCAGAATATTAGGACTTGTGTCCTTACTTATTTTGGAAAGGATCTTGTGAAAATTTTGTGTTTTCAGAAGGGCCATAGCCTTCTGTATCCTGTAGCAGAGTAACATCATATCCCATAACATATATCATGTTTGCATGATGACATTTATTCCTTCTTGCCATGGACATGGAAAACTAAATGACTATTGAATTAAATTCAAATTTAGAAGTCAGTGCCTCACATTTCTTCAGAAAAGGACATGTGAAAATTGTCGGCTCTGCCTAAGGGTTGATGTAGCTCTGCATTTTATTTCCAGCAGTGACCATTGAAAACTTGCCCAAGGGAAGACTGCCATCAGATCAGGCATTTATACTTCCACAGATATTCCCTCAGTCTCCAATTATTTTCAGTTCAGGGAATTATGTGAGGCTATTGAGATTTTTCTGCTTACCACTCCCTTGTGCTCTGGCTTCCAAGTCCTTGTCCACCATCATTTTGAACAGAACCAAAATTTCTTTGTAGTAGAAAATTCGACAATAACTACAGTCAAAATTTGCCATTGAATTTTAATTATGAGTTAACAGTTTAAGGATACCTGCCTTTCCAACCATACTTCTGATAGCTAATATTTTAAATATTATGCTAATTTCTTTTGTTTTGGCATTGCAGATTGTTTTACACAAATAAGAGAGTAGTACCTTACTATTTGTATTTTTCATACTCAGAAAGACTAGCACAAATTTACAGTAAGTAGGTGGCTGGAGTTAATTTTGCATACAGATTTGGATTTGGATGGATGCACACAAGTCATTCTTTGGAGTTCAGGGAAAACTGCTGGTAAACTACCCAGAAGTGTGGCAGCAGCTGGCACAGCTGAGCACTGAAGCAGAAATCTATCCTACTCTGACCCCACTCTGGCTGCTGGATATAAAGAAGAGAAAGAAGTATTCCTGAAGACACTCTGATTGTCCATTTGCATATAAATTTGTTTTAACCTGAAATCTTTAAAACAATTTTCACAGGCCTAATCTATATGAAGAATGAGCTTTATTTAGTTTCCTGGATTTTGCAATATCAAAAGAATCCATACCCTAAATTTTCAGATAGTATTAGGCAGTAATATGTAGGAATGAAAATCAAACATATCACACAAATTACCCCAATAGCATATTTCTAAATGTGGAAGGCTATTAAACTGCTTACAGTTTCTATCCTCAGGCATCAAAACCTCAGCATGGTACACTGAAGCACCTTCCATTTAGTTTAAACCTTACCCCAGTGAGGCAACGCATTTTACAATCTTTTTACATGCGAAGTCTTCTTTAGGAATTTCTAAAATTTAATGCTTCAAAACATATGCTCCTTGAGGCAAAGACTTATTTTTATTATGTGGTTTGTACAGTGCCTTTTGCAATATAGACTTGATACTGAATAGAGTTGTCACTCACACTTGAATGCAAACACTAAAACCAGGTCAGACACTTACTTCTTTGTAGAGATTCTTTCTGTTTTTGGAGAAGAATGGGGGACCAATAATTTCCTTCAAAAGCTGTGAAAGGAAAAAAACAACACAAGGAAGTTATCCTCTGAGCAAAAGAAGTGGAATATTTGTATATTTATTTATTTTTAAGCATGCTGCAAGCCAAAGCAGGGTCAGCACATAAGAATTGTGCTCTGTCACACAAATATGAATGACAATTATAATGGAAAATCACATAATTCCTATTACATAATTAGGTAATAGAAAATTAGTCTGTACCGGAAAAATGTTTCCAAAATTTGCCAGAAATTCAATGCAATATGAGAGCTGCTACACTTCATACTAAAATCCTATGTTCCTGTTAAAAAAAGTGGGATAAACCTTTACTTATGTTTTTGAGTTCTTGTTTCACCATCTGGGTAGAAGTAGTGGAAGGAATAGCCAAAAGTGTGAAAATATGGGGAATAATTGTCCTGTGTGCTCTTCACAAGAGCCGTGGGATCTGGAGCTGAAGACAGGAAATCCCCAGGCATAGTCGTTGCCTTTGCTGTTCACGTTAAGGCAGAATGATGCAAGCTGTCACCTGCTCCCTTCCACACACCTCTTCACAAAGCCTGGTTTGGTTAGGAGAAGCCAAGGAATGTTGAGCAAACGCTGACTGAAGTGTGATTCCTTTCCCATGTCAAACGCAGACCTGCTGCATGAGCACAACTGCTCCATGTTCTCACACATACCCAAAGGCTGTTTCACCCAGCATTTTCCTTCAGCACTGCTGAAGTGAGCTCTCAGAGTCAATAACTGGGTGGTAAAAACCTAAACAAGATGCAGGAATAAAGACCTGAGGTGCTTCAGAAATGTGCCACTCAAATTTAAATTTTCTCATGTCTGGTATTTCTAAGATAGCAGGAGCAAGTATCTTGTAGAAGCCATGCAATTCTTTATTACCTGTTTAGGATCTTTTGCAATATAGAAAATGTTGCGGCAGAAGGTTTCTTTCATCAAATAAACCAGGCCAAATCCACATAAATATCTATATATACACTACAGCTCTGCAGGGTGCTGTTGCTTCCTTGGATACTGCAGCGAGTGGAAGCCTTCAGGGAGCTCACCAGCTGGAGCAGACTCTCAGCCAATTCCATGCTGTGCTGCTGAAGGTGAGGTAGTATTTGCCATGTGCTACCTCAAGGGCTGCAGGAAAACAGGTGAGGCTCTGCCTTTTATGTAAGGCTAGGTTAAAGCACAAGAGGGAATTTTGGAACTGAGTGTTTCAGCACATCTTTTTGCTTTGGATTTCAGATTCAGACATCTCCAACATTCACAACAGTCTATACCTCAATTCTTCTATGAAGCAGTACTTGCTGAATGAAGATGTTATCTGAGTAAACAAAGTTTTTAAGAGCTAAAATACTATACTGGTAGAATTGTATACAATAAATATTTAGGCATAAGGGAAATAAATCAAGGATATAAATTCAGTGAATTGAGTGCTCCCATCCTAATTGTTCTAATAGCTTAAAATGGCATTTATCTCAGCCACTCCCAAGTTGTCTGACACACTCATCACAAAATCATTCTAATCCTACTCATGCTGCCTTGTTGTCTAGAACTGGTCAGCACTGGCCAATAATTGTTTGAGATTTTGCCAGAGTTTTAGAAAACCTCCACGGTTGGCCTGCAACTCAGTAGGCATTTCCAAAATGCAGCATGCTCCTTCCAAGTTCCTAGTGAACCGTGCATCACAGCAAGCACACCACAAAAAGGAACGGTCAGTTTGTGGCTTTCAAGCTAACAACTCTTCATGCCTAGAGTTGCTGCTGCCTTTTTTGAATGCCTGGATTTTGATACCTGCATTTGTTCAATAATCTAGTATTGGCTTTATAGTTTTCCAATCATTAAAGCTTAATCCTAAACTTTAAACACCAATGAATGGGATTTAGAAGTGTATAACTGCTGCCTTCCAAGGATATTTGCAGATTCGCAGGAATTGCATATACACCTAAAACATTACTTCCAGTCAGATCTATCTAGAGAGCTTGATGTAAAGTAAAATATCTAATGGACAAATATTTTAGATTAGAACAGACAAATCAGTTCACAAAGCTTGTCTGATAGCTTTTCAAACTCAAGCACCTAAGCATGGCAAACAAAATTTAACATGCACTTCAGGTTTTGTATTTAGATTAAATTTGAGCAGAATAATCATCCTGGATTATATGCACAGGTACAAGGATTAGATTGAAAATAACTATGGATATGAAATCCACTTTAACTTTTTGCCCAAAAACTAGCTAATAAAACAAATGCAGAGCCATTTGGTGACTATCTGCCAATCAGTCTCCTGTCAGATCAAACTATTACACTAAGTACAGTACAGTAATTATTCTCAGCATGTACATTCTTTTTCTCACACTCAACTCTGAAGAGAATAGTTAAATCTTCCTGGCAACACTATCAACAAGAAGCACACAAAATGGCAGATTGTACAGATGTAGCAAGGACTATGGCTATGCAGAAGTTGTATTTTGCAATCATTTAAGATTTTTTTTCATTTAAAAAGCTGTCCTAGTGTTAAATGAGATTTCTAAAGTACTGAAATCTTCCTTTCTGACATTTTACTATTACTGCAAGTATTCTGTTTTCCTTTGAGAAATGACATTAAATACTTATTTTGAATTATCTCAACAGAAATACTTATTTTGAATTATCTCAGTAGAACTTTATCCAGAGTTTAACTTCTCTTGGATAAAGGAAGGTTTTACTTCCAATTCTCACTCTTCTCCAGCTGGCCAACTTCCTTGAGAATGATATCTGTTGAAGTGCAGTTTCTGTGTGTGGTCAGCCTGTCTAGTTCACAGCAACAGTACAAACCAGGGAACGTGACGTACTATGAAGAAATCAGTAATTTTGTTCCTATACTCTGGTTACTTTGAAACATCCCTATGGGAAAATACAATTTTGTGTTGTACTGGCTTCAATCAAAGTATTTCACATCAGATAAAAAAATGAAAGCAAAACACTGAAATGAAATCTCTGTACTTCCAACTTGCAGAAATATTTTAAAATCTCTGTTTTGTAAAGAGTTCTGTTTTTCTCTTTTAATTGGAGACAAACAGAAATGTTGAAATGTCAGATGTTCTGGAAAGGACAAGAGCTTTAAAACAAATTACAGAAGCCTAAAATTCAACTTAACACTGAGGGTACTGCTAAAGCTGTAGCTCTAATATGAGTTATTAGTTGCACATGCTCATGATGATTTCTCTTCAATATGAAATTTTTACCTCCCTTTGCCTCTTGCAAACACAGATATGTGAACAGCATAAATCAAGGTGACTTCCTAGTTACATACTTCATAAGAAAAAGTATGAGTGTACACAAACCTCTCAAAAGGATCCATGCAGTTTTGATTATTGAAATAGGTAAAGAGGTGAAGCCTTGATTTAATCAATGAATCAGCACCTCTTATTAAGAAAATATACTAGAACTAACAGTTTTAATCAGGTTTCAAGCTTCTGCAGATTTTTTTTTAACTCAAGCATGTTTACTGATTTTCTTGTTACCACTTTCCATAAGATTCCACATCAAATAATTAAATATATCTCCTTACAATCAATATCTATATTTCTACCTAGAGACAGACTCAAGGTACAGAACGTGGATGCAGATCCATAAAGAAGAGAATTAAGTCCTGGCTTTGGTCAGACTCATTCTGAGGATACAACACTTGGATCTAGAGTTCAAAATAATGAGCACCCTGCATCTTGTCCTATTTAAGAACGTACAAATCAACATCCAAAAATTGCCTGATTTCAAATCTTTCATTGACAGAATGAAATTTGCTTGTTTTCAGAGTCTCCAATGTTGTGAGGCATTCCAAGGACTGAAATGTTGACACATCCCAAAGGAAAAAACTCCTCTGTAAGAATTTTCTAGATCCTGCTTCTAGGGCTTTTATCTTTAAATTCAACTTAGTCCTTTGTAGAAAAAATTCTGATTTGGGATGGCCAAGTTTACATATAAAGCTTGTGTCTGTGTAAGTGTCTACAGCAATTTTCTATTTGATTGCAAGTATTTCTATCAATACATCTATTATCTAAAACAGGAAGTCACGTAGATGGAAATTTTGCTCTTCCAGGCAGCAAAACTTGGGATTAGGACCAATGTTCAGGTACGTGACTTGATATTGGTTACAATGGTGCTGATACAGTGAATGGAGTTACACCTGATTTATAACAATACAGCTGAGGTTAGGAATTGGCTCTGAGAGTCTACTAAAGGGTTGAGTTGCTTATATTTTAATTATTTTCATGCTACAGTTTAAGCCAGTGATTTAAGAGCAATAAATGTCCCCATGCAATTTGAACTACATGATTCATCAAATGCTGTAAACACAACACAGAAGAAATAAATTTAACTTTGTTTCACCTAAAGCAAGTGAAGTATGCTTTCCAGCAGCTTGAAATCTTTTCTTGAAATTCTAATTGTAATAAGTGGTAAGTAAAGAGAATATGCAGAAGAGATTAAAAAGAAACAAACATCTTAAGCCATGCCAAACTATGGCAAAAAAGACTTATTATCAAAAAATCCACTGGTAACAGGACAGGAGGAATAATGAGTAAGATGGCCAAGCAGCTACAGAGCCAATGAACTTACCTATGAAATCTTCTTTCAGAAATTACAGATTCATCTGGTATACAGGTGGGTTGGATCAAAAAAGTAAGATGTACCTCTTAGAAAGAGTGAAGGATTGTACTGAATAATATATGGAGGAATACATCAAGAGTGATGTAAAATTTTTAGGCTAGAACCATTTGCCTGTTTTCCAGCATAGGATTTGTTCATAATTCTTCAAAAAAGAAATGCGAACACATAGCTCATACTTAATGCTTTTTGCAGTTCACATAACAAAGAAAAATGATTTTGATTATCACTCTACACAGAAGATATACAATATATATCTGCAATGACATCTCTAGGACACCGGATCATGAACATCTGAAAGATGAAGGCGCTTGGCAACTCAGAAACACAACAGAAGTCCATTAAAAATATTTCCTGTAAATAGGGAATGAGTTTTAGGGAAGAATCCAACAAATCAGTGACCAACTTTTCAAAATAGTGAAGAATGAATTATTTTATTTCAGCCATGTATTTATTAAATAACCTCTTGTGTTTTAAGATGAAGCAAAAGAGAAGAAAATATGTTGACTGAATTCTGCAGTTTGTGGGAAAGGAGAACAAAACCTGAACCTCATGTGATGTCATACTACAATTTTCCTCCAAGCCATGTAACAACAGGAGCCCAGGCACCCCGGACTTACCGGCAGAGTGCAGGAAACTGCAGAAGATGAGCAGTACCAGTGTTGGGAGCATGATGCACGCCCTGCCTGGGCAGTGTTCTCAGTGCTCCCCTCTGTTCCAAGCAGGCAGTGCCAACGCTGCCACTTTCTAGGCTGCCCTCTTCAAGCTTGGATGCTTTATATATAGAATTGCAATGCCCTCCCTCATTCCCACAGCTTGGAGAAATTGTAACAGCAGAGTACCCGCCAAACAGGATCTCCTCTTTATCAAGTTCAACACACCTAAAAGCCACTTAGAAAAAGAAGAAAAAAGAAAATGCAAACCTCCTCCAGTTCATTATCATTCTTACAAGGCCTTTATAATGGCTTCTATTTGTAACAGCTCAAACACTTTTCCCTGCCTTCACTGAACAAATTTGGTATTATACCCGAAAGCAATAAGACAAATAATACACAAATTATGATCACTAGCTGATAAGGAAAGGAATAATATTGGACTAGCACACAAAGTGGAAAAATGAAACACAGAGGTTTTGGAACTGCTGAAAAGACTGTGTGAATAAAAGATGGTGAGACATGAATGAACGGAGATACAGATCTCATATTTTTGCATTAACTCCTTGTTCATTAACTTCCATTCACTCTCCTGGGTGATTGGGTTCATCTCTCCCTCGTGTGACTTTTCAAGCAAACTAATAAATTTTGCCTGGGTAAAGAGGTCTATCCATGGCACAGCTGATTTCCTGACTGCAAGGGAGCTAAGTAAGCCCTTGCCCACCGCCTTAGCACTGCCAAGGACAGAGGGCAAACTGTATTCCAAAATGGGGCAGACTATTGCACTGTGGTACTTTGGAACCTTTCACAAGATGATCTCCACCTTCCCACCAACATCACAGATAACTTCTGTTACACTTGAATCTCTCCATATTAGAGGTGAAACGTTCAATGCACTGGATATGTTCAAAACATCACTGCCACCACTGATTTGACAGTAAAACAAGAACTTGCTTGATCCTGTAATTTTTCATTGGCAAAATATTTGCTTGTGGAAAACATAGTCTCAATATAAGAAAACGTTCCCTATAAAATATAAATTGCATGGGTTATCTCTCCATATGAATTTCTTCAGCCTTTCCTGTTTTCACCTATGCAATACTGAGGTGAGCCTCTGAAGAAAGTGGGAATAAATGGGGCCTTTTCCTCAGCAATCTGCCTGCACAAGAGGTGCCTGCTCTGTCATGCCCACCAATATCACAACAACCAGATCACAATCCACACCCACAGCTGCCAACACCGTGTGTGCCTTGCCGCTTCCAGCATCCAGGGGCAGTGCTTTAAGGGTCAGAGAAGGGAAGGTGAGTGAAGATCAGGCCAAGGAAGTGAAGGGATAGGGAAATTCTCAGAGTTACCTCTTCTGAGTGGTGGGAAGAAGCCCAGGAAAGACAGTGACTTAACCTAATTTCAGCCATAGCTCAATGTGGTTGTAATTAAAAGGAGAATGTTAAATTTTAATTGACATGAAGGTTTGCCTTTTTGGTTTTCATGGTTGTTTTTTTCCCCCCTCACTACTCCCCTATTCTCTCCCCAACAACAGAAGGTGAATGAAGTATATGGCTGTTGATAATAGAACTGTGACCCTAAATTTAAAATTTTTGCTGAAAATTTTCTGCATCTGCCTTATAAAAGCCCTAAAGTAAATGAACAAAATCACTTGTGACTCCTGAAAATCATGATCAAAGTGAAAAATAGTAAGTCCTCAAAACAGCCTCTAACCAGACTGATACCATGATAAATACATAATTAAGATTTCACAACAGTACATATTACATTATTTCTGGCAAATTACCTCTAAGCTCTTATTAATGAAATCGAAAACAGAATTTCATTTTTAACACTTCTAAGAAGCATCTTCTTTATGAAGATAAGGGACTGCAGTGCTCCACAGCAACTCAAACTTGATTACTGATAGTGTCAGACAGAAATTTACCTTTCTCTGATGGAAGAGAAAAAAAAAAATCATCACTGTTGTCAAATAGGATTTTTTTTTGTAATATATGTTCATAATCTTTCTGTCAAGCAGTAATAAATTAAAACAGCTGACATCAATGAGCATTTCATTACTTCCTCATTTAAAGAGCTGGGCACTTTGGAGCATCACTTTTACTATCAAAGGTGGCAGACAGAGACATCATGGAATTAAGATCACTGGTAACAGTTAATTTTCCTTTTTTATCACCATAGCTTCAAGCTTTTCTCTGTAGCCCTTATATTTACAGAAACCTTTTATATCTTTACTATATGGAGCTTACAAAATTCTCAAGAAATGCACATACTGACAAAAGCTATTACAAATATTTACTCAAAATATTGTTGTTTTCAGTTCCCTGTATTTGTAGCAACATTCTTAGCTGAACTCATTCTGTCTGAGAAGTCAGGATAAAGATATTACCTTCAGCTTTCCTGGAAGGAATTTCAGTCACTCAGTCTAAATACTTATGATTCAGCAAGTTATTATTTTATGGAGACATCCCATGATGATGTGAACGCAGTTAATCAAAAGCATCCATCTACAACTGCATTTAAGTCAGGACTCTAGACCAAGGAAAGAGCATTTGCTTGAGGACTATGAGTAGTGACTGAGTTCACAGTACACAGATAATTACTTTACATGGAAGAGCTTTGTGAAGAACTGCATGCCCAGCTGTAGTGAGATAATGATGCCTCTAATTAATGTGGATTTTTTCCATTTAATAATTATAATTGGTTTAGAACAACATCATTTATCAGAAACTGGTGTTGTAGAGGAGAGCAGAGATTGTTGTGGCCATATTTAGTATCCAGGAATGGGTTCTCAGTATTGAAATACAGTTTAGTCTCCAGCATCATGTACACTTCTGGAAAATTTTTGAAATGTCAAAGGAATTTATGTAAGCCAGATATTATGCAAATTGAGAAAGTCATAACACTTTAACTAAGTAACAGACTATCTTCTTTACAGTTTAATTACTCTAGGAATTTTTAGGTATATCAATTACAGAATATTTTGATGCTTTTATGCATATTGCTAAGAAAACATTCCACTTCCTGTAATATAGTCATTGTATATTATTTTAGCAGCCTTCATATTTCTTGGATAAATCGCTACATATCTTTATAAAGAGTCAGACCAAAATATAGCATTTGTTTACCCCTAGTCCCTGTGGGTGTATAAGTAATTTCCAGCTTTGGAAGCTTTTGCCTGTAAGTTTCCATTGCTGTCAGTGGAATGCAAAGATACAGGCTTTACAGATATAGCAATCTGACACAACAGCTGAGCTGATGGGTTTTGTCTTTGAGCTCTGAAATTTGATTTCCTGTCTAATTCAAATTTTGAATTTAAAATTGAATAATTTTAAGATAAATTGTTTTAATATGACGCTACTAAAATCATCTGTACTTTAACTTCCAAACTATTTTAGATGCCCAGCCTTCAAGTAATTGTTTTAAAATATTCATGACTGAATAATATACGTAAAATGAATATAACATTTATTGTCTCATAAATGCTGTATCAGAATTACATAAAATAAGGCTCTTGGAATCAGCTGGGTTATCTTTTATCCTTTATGACTGAGACATTCACTATGACTGCCAGGACAACCTTGGTTTCTATCTACAATCCAATGAGCTGTAAAATTTTCGTAGGACAGTTTGACAATCCAGGGTTCTTTTGGTATAGATTGTCTCAAGGTAACACTATTTATTTTCTGTTAGTGGAACTTACCTTACACAAGGTAATTCCATTGCCATTCCACTTTTTAAAAATAAGCCAAAAGCACAACATAACTGGCATTAATGTGCTAAACAGAAGAAAACGAGCTCCCATTTTTTCTTCCTGTTTCTCATCCTTGTCTTTCAGGTAATGTAGCCAGGGAGCAGAGGATCACACTGAGTGCAGCTTCCCTGGGCTAAGCTTATGGCACCTCCCAGGGGCTCCTGTCTAGTTGTGTGAGTAGCTGGCAGGCACCACACGGCCAGCTGGTTGTCTCTTTCGCCAAGATGCTTTCCAAAGAATCTGGCAGTAAAACAGATACATATTCTGAGAATGTTCCAACTGTGGTAAACAAGAAATTTCTGGCTGAGAAGTATTCACAAAAAAATCACAACCAGCTTATCCCTCATCCTCAGCCTATGTCCCAGCTTTAGAACTTCCTGGTATTTAATGCTGTGTGCCCTTCCAGCTGCTTTCTTAAACAGTGTGTATAGATGAAAGTGGACACAAACTAAGAAATAACTAACAGCACTCTTTCACTGTTCCAAAAGTAGCACGCTTATACTGTTCCAAAAGCACTTTTGAACTTAAATGACTGTAGAGTCAAGTTTTTCCCATATACCTGTTAGAAGAAAAAAAAATGTAGAAAATAGTTTAAAATCATGCCTCTAAAAGTGGTAAAGACTTCACTGATTAGTACTTAACTTTTAATTATAATTTGTTGGGGACAATGGCGTGAGACCTCCCTGTGTTGGCTTCATGCCTCTGGCACTCCCTGTGATGAATATCTCATATATGTAGCTGTGGGGACCTGGGTTGCTGCAGTTCATTCTTTATGTCCTGAGAACACCAGAGGCTGACAAAGCTGCCACTCCCACAGTTCCCTGAAGCGTATCTGCTGCCCTGAGGACAGGGACAAAATATTTCAAGTGTTTCTGGAGTAAAACCATTTTGGGGGAAAAAAATAAACCACATGAAACAAAGCAAGGCCTGCTACCATGATACTGCGTTCCCCTTCCTGCACAGGAACACTGGGAAGACAAACTCTGCTTGCTCTCAGCTCCACACCCTTCTCCTGCCTCTGAATCCTGTGTTCCTGATGCTAGACTCAAACTGGTTTGCATTCTGATCTCTGGAGTGGCTGGGGTGCCCACTTTGTTCTGTAAGAATCCTGAATTCTGGTCATTTTAGCTACAGTGCTGACAGGAGAGAACACAATAATAGGATTGTGCAAAGAAACCACAGGAGGACTGTCACCTCTATTCATGTCTGTCTCCCTTTGACTTTTTAACTAAAATTTCTCTCAAACACTACAATCATGA